AAAATCATACACCTTGGTACGAACATTAATGAAAATTGGGACCATTCACTAGAAATCAAATGTAGGATAGAGAAAGCAAGATCTCCCACATACGCTATCTGCAAGAAAATTAAGGCTTTCGAAATGTGTCTTTATCATCGAATCCTGAAGATATTCTATACTGACCACATTACTAACTAGGACGTTTTATTAGGAATGCAAAAAGGAAATGAATTGTTAACCACAATAAAACAGCCAAAATCGAATATCTTGGTCACATTATAAGAAACAGCGAAAGATATTGGTTGGTGCAATTAATTCTACAAGGGAAAGTAGAAAGAAAATTAGGACCAGTAAGGCGAAGGATTTCCTGACTGAAATATCTACGTACGTGGTTCAACACAACAACCACAATTTTTTTCAGAAAAATACAGATGGTTGCCATAATGGTTGCTAACATCCAAAACAGATAGGCACTACAAGAAGAAGAAGAAGAAGAAGAAGAAAAAATGAATTCTCTTCATAAAGAAAACGATACTCTATATTATTCCAACTAGAAGGGAATTTCAATACTAGATAATAGGTATAAAATTTTCGAAAGGTATTATTAAACGGAAGACTATTATTAAACTGAACACTATTGTTGAAACTATCTTGAAAGACGATCAATGTAGTTTTAAGTGCAATAGATCCACGAACGGCCAGATTTTCTCTGTAATATAAATTTTAGAGAACTGTTATCAATATGCGACAATGGTTAAATCGATGGAATAAAGAAACCAAGGCAAGGATAGCAACTGGGAATAGGTGTTCCATGAAAATAAATAAAATATTTTTCAAATATCGTTTACTAAAAAGAATCCCAAAAATCAAAATTTACAATGTATTAATAAGACTAGTAGTATTATATAGGGCAGAAACAAGAACTACGACAAAAAATGATGAAGAACAAAGTGATTATGGCGTATTGAAAACCTGAATTGGTAAAGGATATCAAAGTAAGCAGGCTAATATGAACGAGCTGCCCACATAGAAATAATGCCACAAGTGAGATCGGTTACGAAACTGAATCTGAATCTGGAAATCGGAAGATAGCAAGTAACCACTTTCCCGAAGACAGCTAATAGTTTAAAGGAGGCCGCGCATTGAATCGGCTCGGAACGGTCGGCTCGGAACGGTACGATTAGATCGGCAAAGTGTACCGCGCACTGACTCGGTCTCATCGGCATCGGCACCATCGGCAGTTTCGTATCAGCAACCGTTTGAAATAGGCTTAAATTATCTTAAAAATGAGTTCTAGTTCATCAGAGTCTAAAGAAGATGTTATGATTGCCTTAGCGTGTAATGAAATCCAAAAACAAAAACCAAGATATTGGATTCATAACATTAATTTAAAACGTGAAACTTATGGGGAGTTTTATTTTAGTATCTATTTTGGGGATCATATAATATTATATATTCCCGCACACTTTCTATCCGTTTATAAAAATTCCGACGTGTACCTTTCTATGCGTAAAATACTACTAGACAACGACGTCAGCATCAGACCATTCGGCAGTTTTTGCCCCTGCCAGAGAACTTCGTATGTTCTCTGCCCCTGCTATCATTCTCCGCCGATGCCGAGACGATCTGACCGGTCCGAGTCGAACGTTCTTAAGCGGTGTGCGGTGGTTCATTTATTTTAATGTATAGCAAAATCTGCTGATTGCTCGTAGCCGAGCCGGCCGATCCGAGTCGATTCAATGCGCGGCCTCCTTAATGCTGTATTATCAACATAGTCCTAACTGACCTCATTTCCAGAGTTCGTTAAGAAAAACTAAGCTTTTTTGTCGTTTTTATTTTATATTTTTATATTCGTCATTTGTTCGTGTTTTCTATTCGTGTAAAATAGTGATTATTTTACAAGAAGTATGTTTAAAAGGTGTTAGCTCTATCAAATACTACTGACAAACTGTTTAGGTGGTAGAAATATGATGTGTGATTAAATATTTAAAATCTTTTCTAAATATACTATATCATTGTATCTATGTAATTTTGTATTTTTAATATTGTTATCAGAGCTAATATTGGTTCAAAATGATCCATTATTTACTGTACGAATTAGTTCACAATAATGAAAATATTCCACGGTAATGTATTCAAAAAGAAACAATTAAAATACTATATAATTTGAAAATGTTTAGAAGGGCAACAGGCAAGGGCAAGGGAAAAACAAGGCAACACTCCTTTCAGGGTCCCTCAAACTCCTCCATGGATATGCAAACTTCCAAATCTTAATATCGAATTATCCAAATATAATAAGAATAAAATATTGCCTTCCATAATCAAACAAAGATTCTATGAAATATTAGATCAATGCAACTTCGATAAGGTCCTTTACTCAGACGCATCTAAGAGTGAAGAAGATGTTGGCTGTGCTGTTGCTGTTACAACAGCTACAAGTACTGTCAACAGATTTCGACTCTTTATCAATTGCCGTACTTATACTGCTGAACTATCTGATATCTTACAAGGGATTACATTACATTCTATCCACCCTATAGTTCAAGAAATCCAGAGTATATGTAATTGTCTTCAAACTAATGGAATTACAGTAACAATTTTGTACGTCCAATCACATATTAGTATTCCAGGTAATGAAAAAGCCGATCTAGCAGCAAAACAAGACTGTTCTATAAACTAAACAACAAAGATTCTTACATCATCAGATCCAAAAAATAACACTCAAACACAAAATAATGGGCCTTTGGAATGATCATTGGAAAAGAAGCAATACCAAGTTTGGCGTTCTCCAAACAAACATTTTATACCATCAGCTCCCACCAAGGAAAAGAAAGGACAAATCAATTATTCGGAGATTAAGAATAGGACTCACACGCGTTACACATGGACACCTAATGAATTCCATCAATTATACTTCCGTAAAACACGTACTTCTTGACTGTCAACACTACCTAACTGTCAAAAGTAAATACAGTCTTGGTAACAACCTAAAATACATTCTTATCTCAAACAGCAGCGACTATAAAAATGTATTAAACTTAAAAAAAATCACAAAGCTATGCAATTTAATTAAAAAGACTGCATTCCAAAAAGTATACTGTATCTAATATTGTCCCCAGTATAAAAGAATCGGTGAGTTGAAAAAGGTACACATTCCAAATTTGGCTATTTTCTGGAACCAAAAATAAAGCTGTTTATCTGCAAAACTAAATATGTAACAGAAAATGTCTCAGTTATGAACTTTGACAAATTTATAATTGTAAATATCATAATTGAACACTTTCGCTAATTGCACACACACCGATTTTGGACGGTCGATTTTTTACCGGCCGTCCAAATTCCAATAGTGAACCATATGTGAGAACGGGACATTGCACACAGGCCGACCGCTGATCGGTGTAGGTAAAATACCGGTGAGCGGACGTTCACTGCCACTGTATCGCCGGCACGACCCGGACGTATTGGCGTACGTGACTAAATACAGTACTGCACACACATCAATTTTTTATCGGCCAATTCGACTGATCGGTGAAATTTTAGGTACATTTTAATTTTAGTTTTGGTAGTGCTTGGTATATAATTACGATTGCAATGGATGATTTTCTTGATAATGATGTCCTTATTTTGTTAGTGGAGGCAAGACCTAAAGAAGCTGAAAAACTTACTACCATCATAACATCTAGACAACGTTGTGGCATACTTCCAATTCTTCCACTTTCCAATCTTCTTAGATAATCTTGATCGATATTATCCCATTCTACGGTTAACAACCGTTGCAGGTCCTGAAGATTAGCTGGCGTCACATTACCAGATCTCACCCTTCTGTAAAGATGGTCCCAAACATGTTCTATTGGATATGTCCGGGCTGTGCGCTGACCAATTCAAAAATTTGTAAATTTACCTCTTGAAGGTACTCGGTAACGATTCTTACGACGTGTGGGCGTGCATTAAAACAAAGTCATTAAATTTCTCTAATGTACCTATCAGCAGTTAAGGATCCTCCATCTAGCTGTACCAATTCGGTTTGACCCCTAAGAGATATTCCGCCTCAGAGCATAATAGATCCTCCTTCAAAGTTTGTCGCCGGTCTTAGGTTGTATTAAAAATAACGCTCGCCATCTCGTCTATAAACTGGTATTCTTCGATCCGAAGTGGATAAACAAAATCTTGACTCATTCGTAAAGAGCATGTTACCCTAGTCGTCGATATTCTAGTTTACTTGCTCTCTTGCAAATATTAGACGTGCTATACGGTGTTCCCTTGTAAGTTTCGGGGCAGTGGCAGCTACTTTGGCCCTAATTCCAGACTGTCTTAGGATGTGCCTAACAGTTTCTGAAGACAAACGTACATTTCGAATCTCGGCTAAGTCATGTTGAAGTTGACTTGCAGTCACATGTCTTCGACGCAAAGCTTAAAGGACTAAAAATCTATTGTCCACATGCGTAGTTGCTCTTGGCCGACCTGTTACAGTTCGTCTTTCATAAAGACTAGTCTTTTTCACCGTACTTTTCATATAGTAGTGTGAAGTAATCTATAATTGATTTTAAATTTCTGGTAGTTTAGTAGTTTAGTAGTAGGGCACAAATACAACAGAGATATTTGAAGTATTTTGCACACATTGCTAGAAGAATAGGTACGATGGAAAAACTGATCGTCGGGGGTAGAGTTGAGAGAAAGAGACGTAGGGGAAGATATCCAAGCCGTTGTGTAGATTAAACAAAAATATTGATTAACCAAGGGTTACATGAAGCCGAACAACTAGCTCAGGACAGAGAACGATGGAGGGAAATCGTGAAAAAACTGTAAAGACCTGATGGTGTCACCACATCCCAAAAAAATAGATGAGGACTGAGGAGGAGGATTTCCTTATGTTTGAAACATTCATTGGTTATTTTTAGTTCATCGCTTTTCGATGGCATATATTTTAAAAACTAACCATCAAACACAAAAGATCACTAAAACTTTTATACCAATCTTCCATATTACATTAATATTTACCCAGCTTTCTTTGGTTTCAGGTTTCGGTAAATTTAACCTTTTCGTTCTCCTGGCTACAGGAGGGAGTCTGATGTGCGTCATCGTAGAGACCATGAGTGCCATGTTCATAACACCAGCCGCACAATGTGACTTAAACCTAAGCTTAGGAGATAAAGGACTTTTATATTCCATCAGTTTCTTCGGTGTTGTATCCGGATCACATCTGTGGGGATATTTAGCCGATACAAAAGGACGGAAAATAGTAACTATAATATCGCTGATTATAAGTTGCATCCTCAGTATTATTTGTAGTATTGTTTCAGAAGTGTGGTTATTTATATTGTTACGATATTTCAATGGATTTTTGTAAGTATTTCAAATTAATAATATGCTAATGACTTAACAGAATTCTGGTTTTAGTATTGCAGGATCATCTGCAATTATTTACGCTTACGCTGGAGAATTTCACGACAACAGATATAGACCAAAAGTGGTATCATGGATAGCAACATTTGTCGCTTTTGGCAACATCTACTTACCCGGCATGGCCTGGGCCATCCTCCCCCAACAATGGTCTTTGGATCTACCAGTCCTTAACGTTCCCTTCCGACCATGGAGATTATTGATGATTATCTACGCTTTACCAAGTTTGTTTTCTGTAGCACTCGTGTTTCTTCTTCCGGAAAGTCCAAAATATCTAATGACAAAAGGACGAAGCGAAGAAGCAATGGAAGTACTGCGAAAGATTTTTGTGATTAACAGTGGGAAAAGCGGTGATGAATATCCCGTAAAATCTATTTTATGGGTAAATGAAAATACTGTGCAGCATAAAGATAATGAGGGGATATTGAGTTCCATGTGGCACCAAACTGTACCATTGTTTCGGAGGAGTCACTTTTTGAAAACTGTCATGGTTTGCTATCTACAGTTCGCAATATTTTTGACGTAAGCATTTTACCATTCTATAATCATATAATTCACAATAATAATCTATATTCCGTTACTAATTTTACAATACCTGTTTAATTGTAATATACAGGGTGAGTCATGAGGAACGTTATGGGGAATGTTAAATTCCAATTAAACATGTCTCCTCCTCCTTATGACTCACCTTGTATAAGGAGCAACAGATATTCTGAAAAAAGTGCAGTACTACTGCAGTTCTACAAAGATGCTGTCCTAACAAAGATTTAAATGAAATATCTACAAAGCAGTTGCTTTTTGAGTGATAATGTTCTGTAGGTTTATTTAGTGGAGCATTTTTTTGGGAGCACATTTTTTTGCAAGATTCTTTTTTTAATAAACTTTTGTTATTTTGACATCAAATTTTAATATTTATATACCAAATTAAAAATTTGGCTTTTTGTGAAATATATACGATACTGACACTATATACAAAATATGACACTGAGTTTTATTTAATATCGATTTAAATTTTTTTATACAGGGTGGTGAATCGTCAAACGGGCCATAGGAAACTCAATGGGAAATTCTAAATTGTTGAATTCCTGCTTCCCTAATTATTTTACACCAAAAGTCATGCGAAACTATTTGTAGAGGACTCAAATATGTACCGAAAACAATTGTTAAAATTGTTTTACGATTTAAACGTATTCCAAAATTTTGCTAAAATATAATACATGTTTCAGGCCACCCCTAAAAGTCAGGCCAGACGCCATAAAAAAATGTGTATTACGTGTTGCGTTTTGTCATATAGATGTTTCTGATATTTGACAATATTTAAATCAACTATACTATATTTATCTATGACACAGAATAATAAACAATCACAATGCACACTCTCCATGGAAAATTAAGTACGCGCATTTCGTTCGCGCAGACGTTCCGCCATGTTTTAAAGGGAACCAGTGTTGTTTATGTGGTGTGCATAGAAAAATTAACCCGGTTTAATTGACTTACGGCAATCATAGGCATACTATACAATTATATTAACATTGTTAAATATAATAACATAAATATAATATAATTAAACATAAATATAAACAATTACATAACCTCACAAATCGTATGTCTGTGTTATGTGTTTCCTTCTAAAACATGGCGCGCATGCTGAAAAACTTCAAAGGCGGCATCTGGGAGTGGGAATTCTGATTGTTTATTATTCTGTATCTATGATTTAAATGGCCAAAATTTTTATTTTGTGATTTATTGTTTAAAAAAAAATTAAGTTGATTAAAAAATGTACTCAATTGTGGAGAAAAGAGCAATAATAAAAATGTTTTATTCATGTTTTATTATAACATTTATTATAGTTTTATGTTTAGAAATTATCATCAATTATTTTTAGGGATAAAGATCACAGTAACAGTATATTGGAATTCATTGAATTGTTGTATAACTTAACTTACATAGAATTAAATTTTAGTGTATTAGAATATCTTACGTTAAATAAAGATCTGTTAGTGGCAGGAAAAGGTTCGCGCTATTGCCTGAATACAACATTATGCGATTTTTCGTCAACTGGGTACATTTCATTATATTGATCGATTTCTAAACAATATAATTTATTGTTCACAAAGTAATATTTGTTGTTCAGTAGTAGTAGTATTTAGTAAAATTCATTGTTTTTAATCATAAAATAAAAAAATTGACAATTCAAATTGTCAAAAATCTGACATCAATATGATAAAACACACACGTCGTAATATATATTCTTGCTTTACGTGTGGCCTAACTTTTAGGAGTGGCCTGAAAAATGTATTATATTTTTGCAAAATGTTGAAGTACATATTTGATTCGTAGAACGGTTTTAACATTTGTTTTTAATTCAGATTTTAGTCCTCTACAAATAGTTTCTTATGACTTTTGATCTAAAATAATTAGGGAAGCAGCAATTCAACAATTTAAAATTTCCCATTGAGTTTCCTATGGCTCGTTTGACGATTCACCACCAGGTATATCACTCAATATACATTAACAAAAATAAAATTAAGGTCATCCCATAATAACTCCCAAATTTTATTTGTCACTTTAATAATAATGTACATCGCATTACAACAAGACACCTCAGTTTTATGGAGTACCGAAAGTTTATAAAGCGAATGCACCACTTAGAACTATTTTGTAGTACCATGAATTCTCCTTGTAGTAAAATACAAATTTTTTCTGAAATATTATACAACTATTTTTTTTCTGTCGTTAGATAAGACTTTAAAAATTAGAGTTGCCAGCTGTTAAAAACGCGAGATTTCAAAGATACAATAAAAGATGCTAAAATAAATCACCTATATCTATTTTCATGACATGCAGGTCGAAAAATGCAGTAGTATACTAGTGGAAATGTCTTAAGAACCACCTCCACATGTCTTCCGACTCTAAGCAACGTGTCCTCGTTCATTTTGTGTGCTTCAAACACTCTCCATCGTTTGTTATGTTACAATAAGATCAAGCCAAAATTACTTTACGAAAATAACGAAAATTTGTTCTTAGAGGAGAAACATTTGTTAACATCTATTTTATCAAAAAATAATTATCCTCTGTGGTTTCAAGGCACTTATGAATAACATCGGACTGACAGAAATTACAGAATGCTGATTTTGCCACTAAAAGCCATAAAAAACTGTTAAAAAAGCTGGGGTAAAGCGACAACTAATCTAGGGATAAGTCACAATAAACCTCTTAGGTCGAGTGGAAGGATAGTTAAGTACTAACTCATCTTGAACCAACCTGACCTATATCACACATCACATCATCAGCACTATTACCCTCGTCAGGATTTGCTTTTAATTTGCATTAAAATATTTATACACAAAATTTGCAAAAATTTTTTGATCTGGTAAATACAAATGAATTTAGATTTTTCTCATTTATAGGACCTCATTTGTTATGATGTGGTATCCACAGATATTAAACAGTATGAATGAACTAGGACAAACAGTACCCGAAAACGAAGTAACCATGTGTAAGGCGATTTTGTATGACGAATCTTATGACAATAATTCCACCGATATATTTGCAGAAAGAGTACTTAGTGTGGAATATAAAAAAGCTAGAGCTTTATCAGTAAGTAGCTACCGTTTTTATCTCTTATATTCTATACATATTATATCAAAACTCAGTTATGTTTCATTTGTTATCGTTTCTCTTCTTCGTCTAAATATCTCTAACTTCGGCCACGTTTCAAGTAGAGATAGGTAGAAAACGCAGATTTAGAAAATGTGTCTGAATCAAGGTCATCTGAAATCAAAAACGTTCTCGTTTAAATCAAAACTAAAAAAACTGTTGTCAAAAATTGATTGACTCATTACATACAGCCTATGAACGCGAAGAAGCCAACATATTTTTAAAAAAATTTAGGTACTTTTAGGTTTCTTCTTCTTCCTCTTTATTAGCAATTCTGCTTGTTCCTTGGCAAATTAATACCTCTATGGAAGGTTTTCACTCCATCTTTTGCGCGGTCGTCCGATACTCCTTTTGTCGATTGGTGACTTATCTCCTGCTATTTTAACGACACGAATCTCCTCCATTTTCCTGATGTGGTTATCTATTCTTTTTTTACTTATATTTATATTATTTGGAGGTTTATACAAATACCGAAATGCAAACAGGCCGTTTCGAATATGGCGAACGAAACAGAGGATTAGTATCTAAATTTTATAGAAAAAAAAACTGTTTGCGATAAACCCCAAAGACAGTGGATATGGTTAAGTCCTAATTGAAAAACGAGAAACAGATAGACTTTTCTATTTCGTTTCACAAATACATTGTGAAAGAGGTAACAGTTCTCAAAAAAAATCACAACTGATAGTGACCACCGACTAGTTAGAGCTAAAATATATATCAATACAAGTTTTGTAACGTAAATTTAACCTATATGGGAAAAAAGGAGGCTCAGAAATTGGGCATTACTGTGGGTTATATAAAAAATAATCCCAAAGGGAATTTTGGCTCCCCAAAAGCCAAAAAACTCCGCCATATCCCATGACTTCTACCTAGCGAGCAATTGGTTGCGCTCGTATCTGGTAAAGACATTTAGCAAATACCTACAACCACGTGTTGTGCTTATTTGTGGGATACAATTCTTGCAGAGAAAGTGATTTACCCAAAGCAATTTGAAAATAAAGATTTAAATTTTGTTTATTCTCTTTCGAAGAGACACTTAAGTGTTTTTTATCGAAAATTTTGAGATGTTTATTAAGGAATATTATTGAGAGAAAGAAGAGAGCATATGAGATAAACAAAAGAAGAAGTGTCGAAATTACAGAACTGAATAAAACTATCAGCAATTAATAAAAGAGCAAACAAAATCCCATTATATTAAACCAAAGCCTCCTACCAATGTTTTTATTATTGTTCAATAGTTTTGCCTCTTTAGAACTATCTATTTGTTGTAGTTATTTTTTCTAGCTCTTTTGAATTTGATATCTAATGTGGAGTCTAAATTCAACGTGGAGTCATATGTTGCCATGTTACCTGATCCAACGGTAACTGTAACATCATAACATTTTATAAGAAATACTGTAAACCAAATGTAACTAATTATTTGTTAACGGGTTTTTACCCATATATTTAGTAGCTACATTTATGTACTCCTAGACACTGATGATGGAATATGGATTCCGAAAACGTTTTGTCTAACATAGCCCTTTTGGGTTTTTAAATATATACCTTTTACAAAGGATTTTAATAAATTTTTTTAATATATGGTATATAGCCAAATACAGGAACGTAGATTCCTTGTGGATTTCATATCTAACCTTTTCAGGCCTCTAAAAATTCCTCTATAGTCTTGATTTTTCAGTGAGTCTAATAGTTCGTTCCCTTGGACTCTTCACGTCCGGCATCAACGGTAGAGACCTTTATTATCTTGTGTTAGTCTAGTACGGAGATTTCTAAGAGTTTTTATTTCGGTAAATGAGTTCTTTGGTGTTAATATCGTGATCTATTTGTCGGAAAAGATAGGTATTTATTCGCCCCGTAGTGCCTCTAACTCACTGACCTGGTTTCATCGGAATAGACTATCAATTTAAATGCTTTAGTAGGTACTTAACATGGCAAGATGTTATAGTAAATAATGTTTTTTAGGAGACAAAGAAACTAATGGAAGAGTGTGAGTCAACATAATTAAGTTTCAACTTTTTGTACCTTCGTAATAACTTTCTTACTTTGTTCTAAAATGTCTATATACTTATTTTATTATAACCTTTAGTAACACCACAATCTTTATTATTAGCAAGCATTTTTTTAACCGACTTACCATCATTTTTACTTTGTTTTAGTCCACAGTTTGCCATGACAATGTTAACGAAGAAGTATTCTTCGTATCTTTAATGATAGGATTTACATATGCAGTTTGCTATATATCAATTGGAACCGTGATCAACTTGGCAGGACCCAGAAAACTTCTAATAGGATTTATATCGATTACCACAGTAGCTGGAATATGTGCGCAGTTAATCAACAGTTACACATATGTACAAATCTCTCTAGGTGAGTAATAACATAAAATAAAATAATAAAATATATAGTTGTATATATATATATATATATATTATATATATATATATATATAGGTATAGTTCCTACATGTATATGGTGCTCGTAAATAGTATCTATAGTTTATCTATCTACTTCTTCTTCTTCCTCTTTATAAACAATTCTGCTTGTTTATTGGTGGATTGATACTCATAAGGAAGTTTGTCACTCCATCTTTGTGCGGTCATCCGATACTTCTTTTACCGATTGGTGATTTATCTCTTACTATTTTGACCACGCGGGTCTGTTCCATTCTGCTTATTAGTTATTTCATCCGTTTTTTATGTTTAGTGTCCATTCGTTTATACACTGTACGTTACATTTTCTTCTACTGTCTTCACTCCCCTTGCGACGTCTCAGCGTATTTTCTGTAATTCTTCTCAGTACTCACAACTCTTTCATTTCCTGTAGTTTTTGTGTTGTGGCTGTGTCAGGTCTTGTTTTTGTTATGTCAAAAGCTGTCTTACACTGGCCTTATAAATTATTGATTTCATCTCAGTGTTAATGTGGTTGTTTCGCCATATAGTGTTATTAAGGCATCCTGTCAGTCTATTTGCTTTTTGTACTTGATAACTCACCTCTTTTTCCAAGTCTCCATAGCTGGACAGTGTAAGTCGAAGGTATTTTATTTCTATTACATTTAATACTGATGCCATCTATTTTACATCTGATTGGTTCTTTGGTGATTACTATTGTTTTAGTTTTCTGAGCTGAGATTGTCATAGGTATTAAATTATTTTGCTCTTCTGTTAAATCTGGACACTAATCTTTCACTATCTTTATCTTGGGCTATTAAGATTGCGTCGTCCGGATAACAGAATATTTTTACTTCTTTATTTCCCATTCTATGTCCTCTTTCTTTGTTGACACTTTTGATTATTTCATCCATATTTAAATTGAAGAGTATATGATTCAATGTGTTCCCCTGTCTTATTCCGTTGCCTATTCCTATAGGTTCTGTAAGTTGTTCATCTATTCTGACTTCCATTTTGTTGTTTTGGTAAATGTCCACCTTATGATCTTTTATATTATAATGTATAAAAGTATCTACATAGATAAAGGAATATTATATCACCTTATCTATGTAATTGGTCGAAAAGCTAAACATCGATATTTGGACCTAAAATTCCTTTTTTCACTTCCATATATTTTGTTCTAAAAAACTAGCCAGAAACAAATCACCCGGAATAGATAATCTCCCAGCTGAACTATATAAAGAAAGTGGTCATGATATCATTGTGGCATTACAGCAGCTTATAAAAGAAATATAGACACAGAAATCCCTCCCCAATGATTGGAATATTGGAATACTTTGCACCATACACAAAAAAAGGAGATATCTTGGAATGCTCTAACCACAGAGGAATTTCGCTTCTAAATGCAGCATGTAAAATATTTTCCATAGTACTATATTACCCTATGGCACCATATGCATAACGGATAGTAGGAAAATACCAGGCTGGTTTCAGAGGTGGTAAATGTACAATTCATCAGATTGCAACCCTAATACAATTTTTGGAAAAAACACTGGAATATGGCGTTGAGACTCATCACATATTTATAGACTACAAAGCAGCCTACGACTCTGTGAATGTGAAAAGTGAGATGTTCAAAGCAATGAAAGAGTTAGGAATAGCAAATCAGTTGGTAAATATAACAAAACTAACTCTTAAAAAAGTTTAATGTAGAGTACGAATTGAGGGGGAACTGTCTAAACCTTTTAAACCGAATAATCTACTGCGCCAGGGAGACCCACTCTCATGTATACTGTGTAATCTGGTTCTGGAAAAAGTAATATGTATATCACAAATTACAACCACTGGTTGAATATATAATAAATCAGTGCTATCACTAACCTATGCTGATGATATCAATATTTTTGGGAGAACGGAAAACGCTGTACGAGAGGGGGAAGGAGCATTAAAAGAATCAGCTACAAAATGGGTTTAATAATAAACACCAACAAAACCAAGTATATGAAAATACCAGATGCAACCACAAATCTTACGACCTCTCGTTATAGAAAACGACGTCATCTAAGCAGTGAACGAATTTGTATATCTTGGAGCGCTCCTTAACACTGAAAATAATACTACCGCAGAGAACAAAACAATAATACGCCCAGTCCTGACATATGGTTCAGAGACCTGGACTTTAACAAAAAATAATGAAAACATGTAAGAATGTTTCGAAAGAAAATTACTAAGGCGAATCTATGGAGCAGCGAATGACAGTGGAGTGTGGAGAAAACGATATAACTTCGAACTTTATAGAATATACCAGGAACCTGATATCGTAAAACATATTAAGATAGGACGTCTGTGGTGGATAGAACATGTAATGCGGATGGAACAAAATGACCCAGCTAGAAAAACACTGCTTGATAGACCCATTAGTCAAATAAGAAGAGGAAGACGCAGAACAAGGTTCCTTGATAACATCAATGAAGACATAAGAAATATGGGAATACGTGCTTGGCGGAGAAAGGCGATGGGTAAGGATGACCTGAGAAAAATTCTTGAGGAGACTAGGACCCACGAAGAGTTGTAAAGCTAGAATGATGATATTTTGTCCTACAGTATGACAATAAGTCTAACAGGTTTTACTATAATATTAATTACTATAATATAATTTACTATAATTAATTAATAATATTAGCTAATAAGTCTAACAGGTTTTACTACAGGTCTTAAATTCCCTTTTTTCTTTTTTTTTCCAATTAAGAACCTAACTTTCCATAAAACTACCAAATGATAATAAAATCAGATAATACACTGAATTTATTCCATTTTATTTTCTATTCTTTGAAGTGTACGACAGCTTCCCAAGTACAATCCCCATTCACTTTTGTAATTTGCACCAATAGGTAATTTGTAAATTATTTTGATAGAATTAGTATTTTAAAAGGTAGTATCATTGAGGTTTCAATTTTTATTTTTTGTAGGTATTTTCCTAATGGCAGCTACTGGCGTGGGTATAGTTAACGCAATAGTTGTGGACCTATACCCTACAGAAATTCGAGGAATGGCCCTGGCAGTTTCTCTGATGTTTGGAAGATTTGGTGCCATGACAGGCTCAAATATTGCAGGCTATATTTTCTTCAACTTATGTGATTATACGTTTTACATTATCACAGCTCTTCATATAGGTACGTATAAAAATAATATAAAATTACCCAAAATTCATTCCATAAAGAATCTGCTTATATGCTCAACATCTGAAGAACCAACATTTTTATTTAAATGTTCATTCATGTTCATAAAAATTCTCAATGTTTAGGTTTTTCTTCAAGTTTTTGTTTTTCCTTGCTTCCTTTTCATGTTTTTCAACTTCTGCTCTTCTCTGGTACTCCATGAAATCATCAGCAATCGTTACTACAGGTGTTAATATTTTTGTAGCCTTTCTTTTACGTTTAAGATATTTTTCTGGAGAAATAAAATGCATTTTTAAATGGTGCTGGGAATTTTGGAAGAGTGACAAAATAGCTTTGACAGGTCGGAATATAGCAACATCAAGTGGCTGAATAATATGTATGGAATTTGGAACCAGTGCTACCAAAACAATTTTATTTTCACGTCAAAAGTCGCCCAATGCCAGAGATATAATATGGCTAATATGTTCATCCAAAAATAACACGACAGGTCGCGGTTTTTCATTCAACCATTTATTAAAATAGTTTACGACATACTTACAAAACGTTTCTGTATTCATCCATCCATTTTCATTGTATCCGATATCCCAACCTATTGGCATAGTTGGAACTAAATGTTTTGGTAGCCTAGTACAGGGAAACAAAACCATTGATGGTGGGATATCTCCACTAGCGGATATTGTTGCTAATACGGTTAGACATTCTTTTTCATAGTTAGCAGTTCTGTTATATATAGTTTTAGAAACTCTTTTAACTTTTTTGTCCTGTGGAGCCATGAAAAAGGCTGTCTCATCCCAGTTGAATATTCGGCTTGGATATTCCAACACATCTGTGATGCCATTTTAATTGCCATTATCATATACTTTCTTGAACCTTTTTCTTATCCTTTCCTCTTTAACCAAGGAACGACTAGCTGTCAGATTTTGCGATACACGAGGTCTTATTTCCGGATGCCGGGTTAAGAAATGTTGGTACCATATATTTCCAGAAATTCCATTCTTAAATTAATTGGCTCTCTTTAGATTTTTAATAAGCACTGCTACGGTGTTAATAAGCTGATAGCGTGTCACGGGAAAGCCCGCGACAGAAACAAAAATATCCATTTTACGATTATTTTTTCCTCATCACTAGTTAAAACTGGTTGTCTTCCAATATTTTTGTATACATACTTTTGCAATCACATCTTTCAATGTACTTTTTGGTATACCATACATCTTTGATGCTTTATAGGCAGACATTAAAATGTGAATAATTGAGTCTTTTAGTAGGTCGCATAGGCTAAATTTGGGTTTGGCCGAAATTAGAGCACATGGGAAATATAATAAAATCGAATACCATTCAGAATAGAATAAAAGTATTTTAATGTTTTTTTTATAATTAATAAATTGCCATTGTTCTGAAGCTAATTTCTTGTGGCATTTTAAACTAATTACTATTTAACTGGAAATAAGCCACAATTAAAGATAAAAATACGTTTATTGACGTTTCAATTTCCACTTCGGAAATCGTTCTCAAAATACGAACATATTTTGTATTTTGAGAACGATTTCCGAAGTGGAAATTGAAACGTCAATAAACGTATTTTTATCTTTAATTGTGGCTTATTCCCAGTTAAATAGTAATTAATAATAAATTGTCAGACTATATATTTTAACTTAGTTACAAAAAAAATTAATTTTTTTTTGGGAACAAATTCGTGATATTTTTCAATTTTCTACCATGAAAAATAACTACTTGAGTTTCATAGTTGTAAACTTACTTTTTTGATTTTATAGAAAAAAAAAGTATGGGACGGAATTTGATAGTACATTTTTGGTACCTAATATTTTTTTTAAAGAATTTATTACTTTTTTAAATAATTTTTGATATTAAAGAACAAAAAGTTGAATTGAAAAAAAAACACCATAATTCGTATTTACGACTCATTGGGCCGGAATTAGATTATCCACTAAAATTGTGCCTAATATGAGCCTAATCTCAGTTTGTAAATTTTACTTTGTTTTGACCCAAAAACTAAAGTGTTTTATAAACAATACATCTTTTAACCATTTCAATAAACAAACTACTGCAGATTCTGTAATAATTTGCAAGCAAATATTGTAACCAATGAATTTCTCAATGCTTACCTGAAACACTAAGGATTGACGACCGCTCTCAAACTGATTGCGTTGCTTGAACTGAGTAAAACAAAAGCTAGAACATGTCACCCCACCATTTATACACAAAAAAAATGGCCTAATAAATTTATCGCTAGAATACACACGCGATGTGCGAAAATCTAGTCAACACTAATCTTTAAAATTTCTATTCTAAATACTGTTTATTTATTGTTTGTGTTTTTTTTAATTTTCAGTCGTAATTATTGTCATCGTACTCTTGCCATCACAAAAACCCATAGGACAAGTCAAAGGACCAATATAATGAATACCATCTGGTTTTAATAGATTTAATAAATTATTACTTTGTTATATATTTTAAGTCTAATTTTATTGTTTTTAATAAAGTTTGTAATTTGTATAAAATTTTAGTTTGATATTTTCATGTACCTATTATTATTCTAGGGATGTAATGGGATAGTGAAGCGCAACATATAGCCACTCCTATTTAAATGTCAACCTCACCTGCTCGTATAATGATCTAGATCATGGTCTTCTGGTACATCCTGCTAGATAACTAACGAGGCTCTGACGTGGCTTAGGGCGGATGAGCTAGTAAGTGGAAGGACACTCTCTAGTGTCCTTCCACTAGTAGTAGTAAGGAAGAAGAACCTAGAAAGTGGTCAACGGTATCAAAATGCAGAAGGCAACGAGAAACCAATACATTAAAGGTCTCTGATGACATCTCTAGTATAAATTATTAACATTATTTACGCAAGAGACATTATTGATTATGGTAATCAGAGACCAAAATCCGGCAGGAGAGGACAACCATCAGAACGCAAGGCCTCCTCTGTCGTCAACATGAGAAACCCTTGCACAAAATACCAAAAAAAATATACTCAACCCTCTCCGATAAAAATCGCTACCTGGAATGTAAGAAAACTACATAATGTTATTAAAGAGAAATAGAGGCTAAATATAGATATACTTGGGGTTAGCGATGTACAAGGGTCAGGAAATGGAGAGATATCAATAAATAACCACAATATTTATTACACTGGAGGAGACAAAACTTATCATCGATACGGAGTAGCTTTCATCATAAGCAACACTATTAGAAAATCACTGCTAGGTGTGATTCAAATCTCAGAAAGAATAATAATGCTAAAAATTCAAGCACGGAACAGTAATATTAATATGATCCAAGTCTATGCTCCCATAGCTGATAAGACCGAAGATGAGATCGAAAAGTTTTATTCAGAATTGCAAAATACCGTCAAGTTAACAAAATCTAGAGATATTACTTACATTTTAGGAGACTTTAATGCAAAAATTGGAGTTGGTACAGTTCAAAATATAGTTGGACAGTTCGGATTAGGAACTAGAAACGAGAGAGGAGAAAGGCTCATAGAATTCTGCCAAGAAAAGAATATGGTAATTGCCAATACTTGGTTTCAGCTTCCTAAGAGAAGACTATATACATGGACATCTCCTTCGCATACAGAAAACCACATTGGCAGAAACCAGATAGACTTTATATTCGTAAATAGCAGATATAAAAACTCTATAACCTCAATTAAAACTTATCCTGGAGCAGATGTAAACTCAGATCACAATGCGTTAGTTGCTGGAGTAAAAATAAAATGAAAAAGAATTGAACTCAGAAAACAACAACCAAAAATTAATGTAACTAAAAAACGAAGAAATAAAAAACGAATTAAAAAATAATGTGAATGTTAATATGCAAAAAGCACTAACTGACAACAAACAAATTATGGATGTAAATAAAAAATGGTATAATATGAAAAACACTTTACTGAAATCATCTTGAGAAAGTTTAATACAACATAGGTCAAAGGCTAACAAACAGTGGATGACAGAAGAAATACTACTACAGATGGAAGAAAGAAGGAAATGTAAAGGAAAAGATCTACAGAAGTATAAAGAAATACAACGAATAATTAAGGAAATCAAAACAGCTAAGAAAATCTATTTGATGAAACAATGTAAAGAAATAGAACTAGAAACAAAATATGAGAATATGCACAAAAAAATAAGAGAAGTGACTGGAATGGGTCGAAATAAACAGCAAGGACACATAAAAGACAAAAAAGGAGTACTACTACATAAAAGACTAAAATGCAGAAAATACAAGAATTAAATCCTTTAGAGAGACAGAAGATCACGATAGATGAAATCAAATATGCTATCAAAAACTCTAGACAATAAGGCAGCAGGATTAGATGAAATACCAGTAGAACTGTTAAAACTACTGGAAGAGGATAACTTGGAAGTATTGGCAGATTTATTCAACATGGTGTACGATCAATATCGTCAAAAAGCATACCAACCTGGTAAATCTACGGACTCTGCGTTGGATATCTAAATAGGCTTATCTCAAAGTCAATGGAAGACAAAGAGATAACAATGGCCGCCTTTTTAGATATAGAAGGGGCATTTAATAATGTTATCACCAGCTCTTTGATAGGAGCTATGAGTAGACGAGGCGCGCCTGCGGTAATATGCAGATGGATAAGGGCATCCCTAGAGAATAGGATAGTAATGTCCACTCTCGGTAAAGCAACCATCACAGCAAAAGTAGGTGGAGGCTGTCCACAAGGAGGAGTTCTGTCCCCTCTTCTTTGGGTTTTTCCTTATTAGATGATCTCCTCAGAAGGCTCCTATTGTCTAGGATATGCTGACGATATAGCAATCGTCGTCAGGGGCAGGTTTGCTCAGGTAGTCTCTGTGAGAATGCAAGCAGCCCTAAATATAGTTGACGACTGGTGTAAAGAAGAGAGACTGATAGTCAATGCTCAGAAAACACAAATCATCAACTTCACCAAGAAAACAGCACTACAAGACCTAAAACCACCGGTGCTGGGAAGGACAGAGATTTCATTTGCCAAAGAAACAAAATACCTTGGGGTATATTTTGATCATAGGCTTACATGGAACACACATTCTAAAAACCACACAGAAAGCTACTATGTCCCTGGGCAGATGTAGAAGAATGTGCGGTAAGAATTGGGGACTTAACGCCAACAAAGACGCAACAAGTGGGAGCAATAAAGCTGCTAGGTAATACACAAAGGCTAGCATGCCTATGTATTACGGGGGCCATAAAAACAACTGTTACTGCATTGTTGAAAGTCCTGTTGAATTTACCACCACTTCATATCTTTATACAGAGCGAAGCCAGATCAGTGATGCACAGATTAATCCATAGTCAGCGACATATAAGCCAGATGCATATTACTGACAACAGAAAGCTAATCAAGGAGCTAAAAGCCGATATTGTGATGGGGAACCTATCGATGCAACAGCTACTAGATATAGCTTTAACAATAAATTCACAATTAAGATACCAGGCAGGGAAGACTGGAATAAAGGTGTACTCATACAAGCTGCTGCTACCTGGTACACGGATGGCTCAAAAACATCGGTGGGTGTTAGAGCCGGCATAGTAGGGACAAATCAAGGGATACATTTCCCGGTAAGTCTATCTAAGGATGTGTCAGTTTTCCAGGCGGAAATAACTGCAATCCATCATTGCGTGGAAGAAATAGAAAGGCAGGAAAAAACGTTCTGTTCAGTTGCTATCTTCACAGATAGTCAAGCAGCGCTTAAGGCGCTCAATTCTGTAGAGGTTAATTCTAAGCTAGTATGGAATTGCGTGGGTGCTCTAAATAAACTAGGAAATCGTAGCAAGGCTACGGTAGTGTGGGTACCGGGGCACGAGGGTCATAAGGGCAATGAAAAAGCACATGAAATAGCCAAACAAGGCTCATCAATGCCATTCATTGGACCGGAACCCTTCTGCGGCGTTGCAAAGTCAGTAACAAGATCGGCTACAAAGAAGTGGGTAACTCACAAATTTCTGGAATGGTGGAGGAATTCACCTGGACAAAGACAGGCGACACAGTTCAGTTCATTACAGACCATTCGCCAAAATTTACGGCAGATCTAATAAGAAAAGACAGGAAAACAGTCAAAGCCATAGTAGATCTTCTAACAGAGCACTGTAAGCTGAGTAGGCACTTGAAGCTGATGGGATTATCAGATGATGGATGACCTGTGCAGATTCTGTCCCCTCGAAGAAGAAATAGCAGAGCACATTTTATGTCAGTGTGACAATCTGGCAAATGTGCGGTTTTTTGCACTAGGAGAAGAAAATCCACCGGCAAATAGCTACATGAAAGGTACAGTCGCTAAGCTACTAGACTTTATAAAGAGGGTCAGGCTAGAGAATGTTATCTAGGACTAGAGGACCACAATAGATCTGAAAAGGTCGCAATGGAATAGGCCGAAAGGCCACCTCTCTTAATCTAATCTGGTGTACGATACGGGAATAATACCACAAGAGTGACTGAAGTCAGCATTTATAACCATCCCTAAAAACAAGCATGAAAAGAGTGCTCTGATTATCAGAGCACTCATGACTGAGCCTCATGAATCATACTTTAAAAGTACTGCTGAAAGTAATACATAAGAAAAGATACGAAAGGCTAGAGGAGGATATTAGCGAGACGCAGTTCGGGTTCCGAAATGGAATGGGTACTCGAGAAGGACTATTTGCCATCAAAATATTGATTAAGCGATTTCAGGACGTAAACGTTGATCTATACTTGTGCTTTGTTCACTAAGAAAAAGCTTTCGTTAAAGTAAGTCATGAAAAACTAATATCAATACTTATGAACAAGCGCATTGACAGTAAAATCATAAATATAGTGCAAAAATTATATTGGAACCATATAATGCCATAGTTCAAATTGATGGGCTCAGAAACACTCAGAAAAAATAAAGATCTGTAGAGGAGTTAGACAGGGATGTGTTTTATCGCCACTTTTGTTTAACTTATATTCTGAAATTTTCCAAAACACACTCAATAATATCAAAGCGAGAGTTACCGTTAACGAAAAAATTAATTAACAACTTATGATATGCAGACGACACTTTGATCATAGCAACGAGTATAGAAGATCGACAACATCTTATCGAAAGCTTAAGTATGAATAGTGCTGAGATGGGAATTACTATAAACGCTAAAAAAACGAAGTACATGCTAATTACAAAAGACACAAAACATACATCATCTATTGACAATCAATGGTAACATGATAGAACAAGTAGAAAAATATCAGTACTTGCGAACTTTGATGAATGAAACCAATGATCATACTGTGGAAATAAACAGGCAAATAGAGATGCCAGATCAGCATTTATATGAATGAAGCCACTCCTAACATGCAAAAATCTAAATTTGGAGATCAGACTATGTACCATTCGCTATTATATATTTTCAGTATTATTATATGAACCTGAGACTTGGATGACTGTAGCTCGAAGCTACAATCTGGTTGGCAACAGGAAAGAGAATCAGTTTCTCTCTCCTGTGCCAACTAGAATGTAGCTTTGACTAATTTTTAAATAATTTTAAACGGTTTGTTCTTGTTTAGTGCAGTGTCATATACAATTTTATGTTAATGACATTCTACGATTGTTGGATAGCCCAAAATTTATGAAATGCCCCTGAAGATGCTATACCAAGCAAAAGTACTTGGGCAAGATTTAATTAATAAAACTGTGCTCGATATCTGCCTTTCATTTTATCAACGTTCATTTATTCGAGCATTCAACCTTATATCAATCTATTACATATTTGTTGAACCAACAGTACAATAATATCAAATCAACTCACATTGAAATTGCACATATTGTACATTTCTTTTTAAAACTTCTCTGCATTACACTTTCCATGTATTTTTATATGTCTTCATCTAGATAATTCACCATATTCTTCTAGGACTTCCTCTGCATCCATAGTGGAGTAATTTAGTGCCATGATTTCATGACATTATATATTTTATATGAAACATGCTGTTCGAACAGTTCACTTCGTTGGTTAGAACTTTAGTACATTTCTCTAACCCAGCATTAAAACAGCAATCAATAGAATGGAGATACTGTGATTATTAAAGGCCTAGGAAACTATGTGTTCAAAAATAGTCTGCAAAATTGCTTTAGTTTTTTGGGACTGTGAATAAGTAATCATGATTGATTATTTGGAAAAGTGTAGAAGAATAACTGTACAAAATCCTTAGTTAAACAAAATAAATGGATGTTTATACAAAATCCAAACAAAAAGTATTTCATAGGATGAGATGATAAATTGGAATATCCAAGAAAGGCATAGATGGTGATTTTAACAGGTAATTTGAAGACTTCTAGCACTAATTTGTGGAGTACTTCATACATACCCAGAACAATTTTTATATGTAAATGAATTTTATTGTTTAGGTGTAGATGGTGGTGATTTTAACAGGTAATTTGAAGAGTTCTAGCACTAAGTTGTGGAATACTTCATACATACCAAGAACAATTTTTGTATGTAAATGAATTTTATTGTTTAGCAATGAATTTAGTAAATTATCTGCTACATTAGCTGTGGCCAGCAAAATTGTTTGGCAAAACTGTCACATAATAAAACAACAAATAAAAACTACTGTCATATTTATTGTTAAACATTAATAATCACGTTTTGAATAACTTAAACCTCTTGAAATATTTCTGAATTTCCTCCTTGGGATAAGGTTTAACAACTAAACATGTGGGTATATTCTCGGGTTGTTCTATCCACAACTTGTGCTTAACACTATTTTCTTCCAGTTTCTCTTTAAGATTAATTAAACTTTTTTCATCTGGAGCTTCTAAAACAACTTTGTGCATATTATCTAAGTCTTTAAGATATCGTTGAGTGAATTCATCTTCGTAAAAGAGATGTGTAACAGCTGTAACAGCATGACAAGCTTGTGCTATCACTGCTCCAGCAGGCCATTCTAGGGCTTTGAGGAGATCACCACGTACTATAACGTACTGTACAATATTCGCAACACTCATTGAAACTTACTTAAAATTCAATTTAGAGTCTAGAATTAATCATAACGCACAGTATAACTTGTTTTACAAAAACAAAATACTTTGATGGTGATCATCAAGAATCAAGAAAATAAAAACGTCCACTTCTTGTCCACTTCTTCCACTGTCAACAGTGTCAACTTGCCTAAATTGACAAAATGAAAGAATTTAAAAAATCTAACAGAAGAAGAAAATGACTCATAAACTGAACCTCTCTTCGTGTGGTAGATTTTCAGACTTTTGACAAACGAAAATTTTTAACAATTTATTTTGTTAATTTCAATCATATTAAAATTTTAAAAAGAAACAAAAATGGTAGGTAAATATTATTTACTCTATGTTTTGTATAAAAATATCAATTGTAGTACTTTGAACGATAATTTAATAGTAAACAATAATTTTATCTAGTCAGGTGTTGCACCGGCTATGCACGTGCTTTTTTCTACAAAACCTAAGATTTAATAATAAAATTCTTTTGTAGGTATCCCTAAATCCCGTAAGAATTCTCAAGCAAGAAGCCGAAGAAGAAAGGGCAGAGATTGCCCGACTGAGTAGTTTTGTGGGTGCTATAGCTATAGGAGATTTGGTTAGGAGCACCTTGGGGCCAAAAGGAATGGATAAAATTTTAGTATCTAGTGGTAGATCTGCAGGCTCAGTTGAAGTTACTAATGATGGAGCAACTATTCTAAAATCGGTGGGTGTCGATAATCCTGCTGCTAAAATTTTGGTAGATATGTCAAAAGTCCAGGATGATGAAGTAGGAGATGGCACAACATCAGTGACAGTATTAGGTAATTAATTAACTAGTTACATTAATAAATTAATAGGGTATGGTTATTTTGAAAATTAATTTTACTTTAGTAACATTCAGGATTCTAGTTACAGTTATTATGTTTGTTATGGAATATTCGTAATCTTAGAATTCTGTTATTAAACTAATTGAATACATTATAATTTTGATGTATGAAACTTTTCTAAGGCTCTGATTTGTTTACTAATATAATGTTTTATTTATTAAATTTTGTTAAAAACTATGATGAAAATTGGAAATAGCTTGATACTTCTCTTTTGAAATTAGTGATATTCATACCTTTGTTTTCAAAGATTACACCATTACTGGATAATACATTTTTACTACCTTGTAGTATTATTCTAATAAACTGTTTGTTGTTTGTAGCATCTGAACTACTTAAAGAAGCAGAAAAACTTGTAGAACAGAAAATCCACCCACAAACAATCATTGCAGGTTGGAGAAAAGCAGTAGATATTGCCAGAAAAGCTCTTCTAGACACTGCCAAAGACAACAGCTCTGATTTAGAAAAGTTCAGAGAAGATCTATTGAACATTGCCAGAACTACACTCAGCTCAAAGATTCTGTCACAACATAAAGAACATTTTGCCAAACTGGCAGTAGATGCTGTGTTAAGATTGAAAGGTTCAGGTGATTTACAGGCTATCCAGCTGATTAAGAAAACTGGTGGTACCTTGGAAGATTCCTTTTTGGATGAAGGTTTCTTATTGGACAAAAAACCTGGTGTACATCAACCAAAGAGAGTAGAAAATGCAAAAATCCTGATAGCCAACACTCCAATGGACACGGATAAAATCAAAGTATTTGGCTCTCACATTAAGGTAGATTCAATGGCTAAAATTGCAGAGCTGGAATCTGCAGAAAAGGAAAAAATGAAAGATAAAGTGAACAAAATTCTTAAACATAATGCTAATGTATTTATTAATAGACAGTTGATTTACAATTATCCTGAACAACTATTTGCTGATGCAGGAGTTATGGCTATTGAGCATGCAGATTTTGATGGAATTGAAAGGCTAGCACTTGTCACAGGTGAGTCACTTTATGTGGATAATTTATGTGTGAATTTTTTTGTAGAATCTTTAAAATCGTTCTTTATTGAAAATGTAAACCTAAGTAAGTCACTACAAACCATTGAAATTCCTAAATTTCTTATATTCATATAATTTGTATTAAATGTGCCTGTATATACATTTATTTATAAATGTACCTGTATATACTATTAAACAAAATATGCATGTCATACACCATTTAAATATATTAATTTTATAAAATAATATTTATTAAGTAAAAAAAAAATCCACTAGGAAGCTAAGTTCCTGTAGCTGGCTGTATACATCCTAATCTGTAACCATATATAATGTAAAACAACTGTAAATTTATAACATTTAAAGGGTTTTGACCCATATATTTTGGTGGCTCATAGCATGTATACTAGGGTGGGCCGACAAAATTTTTTCTGGAAAATAACAACGCCTGTGGTCAAAAAAGTTGAGTTATACTAAAACACAAATTTTAAGTCCAAAATGAGTAGCTAAAAATATTTTTTTCCACTGCCACCAAGACTCTATATTTTTTTAATATAAAAGGTCATTGTGGCAGTGGAAAAAATAAAAAATAATAATTATTTCAAACGCAGATCTTTATATTTTTTTATTATATAATTTTTGAAACATCAGGGTTATTTATTTTGTAACTTAAAAAAATTTAAATAAAATCTGTATTGTTCTGGCGGTTTGATGCATACTTTATAACATATAGTAAACTTTATTTGCGTATTTTTCCACTAACTAATAAGTAGAGAAAAATTTATTTTAGGGACTTACTTCAAAGAGTGTGCCGAAATTCCCCAATAACAATAAAGTAGACGTTAGTATAAACAAAGTTAATATTACCGATTTAATATATTATCATTCTTAAAATAACGTGACATTGGAGGTCAACGCTTCGCTTATGCTGCAGATTTTGCAGTGGTGTAAGTGTAAACCAATATTTCAATCAATTAAACCGCCTAGCGACACTTAAATTATTTTTAGTGTTTTACCGACAGTTGAGTAAAATACCTGTACGATATTTGTCAAGCAGTGAAAAGTGGTGCTTGTTCAGAAAAACTTTCTAAGAGACAGCCTGGAAAAATGGTTCATTCTCGGTGGCTTACCACTGCTTCCCGTATCCTTCGGTTATACGTAGTAACCAGAAATCCATTGGAAAATTTACAAATACTAAGCCATTTTGTAATGAAAGTGTATGCGCCCATGTGATTTTGTATTAAGACTCACCCGTCATGCATTTATGGTGCAAGGCATATATTCAAGACAATAAGACTCTGCGACTATTTACTACCAGAATTGAAAGACATAGTCTATAAATGTATTCAAAGAAATGGATACTTTGGGAGCCCAGAAAATATTATTTTGGCTATGTTGTTTGATAAACGTAAACACATAAGACAATTGGGGTTCCAAAGAATTTTGAAGAGCAAACAGTTAAATTACAATGATCAGCGACATTTCGTAGTACCAAAATTATTTTTTGGTAGTAAGGATTACTTTGAGATTATCGAATGCCAGAAAGTTTTATGGACAGAGCCTCCTGTAACTATGAAGCTATCAAGAGACCAACTAAGGGAAGTTGTTGAAAATCCTGAAACCAGTCTTTTGGCATACGTAAAATCATACCCTTGTCACACACAAGCGGCTGAGAGGGCCGTCAAAATAGTAACAGAAGGTTCAGCTTCTGTCTGTGGAAGTGAAAAAGGAGACGGTTATATAAGGAACAGGCTGAAATCAAGGGAAAATATGGCGAAATATGAATTAAAGAAAGACTTTTTTTTTAAATAATGTGATTGTTACTTTTGAAAGACATTCTGTTTTGTATCGTTATATATTTATAGATAAACTATTTTTCTATTTGTATTGTTGTATTATGTGTTCAAAACAAATTTAGCTTTAATATAAATTATTTTTTTGTATGCAAAAAATAAATCTACCATACAATACATTTTTTTTTGAAAAATTATTAATTTTATACAGCTCTGTGGCAGTAGAAAAAAAAAATTAGTTGTCAAAAAAAATAATATGATCAAATTTATCGTATAAAACACTTTTTTTGACTCAGGCAACCATAATAAATTAAAAAAAAACGAATTTGACATAATATTAAATGATTGAATTTTTTCGCAAAAATCTCGTTCTTATATAGCTCTGTGGCAGTGGAAAAAAATTAAATTAATTATAAAAAAAAACACTGTGAAATAAGTTATCTTATCATACATCTTTCCTGGAGTCAGGCAACTCAATTAAAAAAATAAAATAAAAACACATTACTCAACGGCCCACCCTAATGTATACCTCTTTTACACTGATGATGGATTTAACAATCCGAAAATGTTTTGTAATGTAATTGTGATAGCCTGTTTGGGCATTTTATTATATACCTTTTATAAAGGCTTTGAAATAAATTTTTTACTTATTAAGTAATCTTGTTATTATAAAATAAAACAACATTTTAAGCAATTACTTTAATTAGATAAATATATACTTATGATTTAAAAACAATATGTGATATGTTTGTCTAACAAAAAGTTATGTCACCTATCTGTATACATATATTTATATATAGAAAAGCTCTGTTCTACATCCACTGAGATTATGGGAGCCTCTACATTTAATGTTTCATTAACAAACACCTCACTTAAAACATTTGCAACTTTAAAATATAAAATCAGTAGGTTTATCAATGACTGAATTAATTTTTTTATTGGTTTAAGTCAGCGTTTCCCAAACTTATTTTTTTGGCATGGTTATTTTTGTGCTTATTCTTTGTGACCCACTATTTTTTTTCGTACCCTAGTGTGTGTGTGTGTGTGTGTGTGTGTGTGTGTGTGTGTGTGTGTGTGTACAAGAAAATATACTTTAATATTTATTATAGTTTATATATTTTAATAAAGAATCATTAGCCTCATACTTATAGGTCATAATAAAAGTAATTAGAAACTTTATCGCTTTTTCTATCTAGAGAAATCTATCAGTGGTATTTTGTCAAATATGTCTTTTGTCAAATATGTCTTTTGTCAAATATGTCTTTTGTCAAATATGTCTTTGTCAAATATGACTTTGTAGTCACCCTGTCACACGATAGTTCAGTTACTGGCGCAATATCTCAATTGCTGTGGATGGGTAAAAATGTTCCTTCAGATTTGCCTTCAGTCATAGTAGATGTTCATTGAAAGCTGCTGAAATCTCATCTGGCAATAAATTCATGTTATACTCTTTTTGTAGTTTTGTTATCTTTGAAAAATTTCCTGCTTCCACGCAACATGTTCACAAATTAAGTTTTTTTTTTTTTGCAGCTTCCAGTTTCTCTTGTACTTTAAATACAGTTACATTGCTACCTTGTAATGTCATATTTAAATTGTTCAAGAAGTAAAAGATATCACAAAGGTAGGCTACCTTCAATTCAATAAATCTTTTTAAAACATTCCCTTTTGATATCCAATGCACTTCACACTGTGAAAGAACATGTTTATGTTCATTTCTCATTTCTTTGAATAAAGCAGCAAATACTCTCGAGCTTCAGTGGGTGAGATTTTATAATGTTCATAAATTTTACACACTCTTGCATAGGTTCAGTTAAAAGCAGTGTCATTTTTTGACAGCTAATGCATCAAGCAAAAAGACAAAAGAGGGAATATAAAGGTAGTGGGGGCAAAAATATTGTTAGACAGGAAATGCCATCTTGAGAGGCCACATTAAACAAGGAAAGAGAATCTTTCCTTGTTTAACCCTTCCAGTATGGTGTACTTGTATACAAGTATTATAAAATCCGTGCCATCAGTATGAACCACTTGTTAACAAGTAATTGAGTGACACACTCTCATTACGAACCACTTATATACAAGTTTTATGTAAAGTTATTAGTTATTGAGTGCTAACTACTTGTTTAGAAGTCCTATGCTGTAGGCGTAAGTGATAAAGGAAGTGCACAAATAACAAATCATTGTTGAACCAATGGAATTGAAAAATAGGCGTGGTTTATTTTTATACTCTAGTAAGGAATTTCAACAAACAGTGTTGACCTGACCCGTTGACTGTGCCATTAGTTTTGATCTGAATTTTGAGAGAGGTTTTGTGCTAATTTGTAGTGAAGTATGTTTTCTTCCTACTTAAAAATTTCTAAATAATAAAAAAATTTCAGTAGCAGATTTCCCAATCAAACTAATTTTTGAGATTTTAGAAAAATACAGGGGAATTTCTGGTACTAGTGGCTGTTCTTTATCTGGACGTGTTATGGAAAATCCGTCAAGACTTGATCGTTTAAGTTACCACAGTCCTTCATTTATTCCAAGTACAGAAAAGTTAAAAAATCCGTTACAAAATTGTGTAGTTTGTACTAAAAACAAAATCTGACGGGAAACCAGATACTGTTGTGATAAATGTGATGTTTCACTTTGCGTTGTACCTTGTTTCAGCGACTATCACAGTAAAAAAGTATACTGGAAATAAGTTATTTATTTAAAATCAATACCTAAATGTATTTTTGGAACAATTTAAAAATTTGACACGATAAATACTTGTTTATTTTAAAAAATAAATGTTTCAATTACAGATTTTTTTATTAATTATTGCTAAAAATAACCTTTTCAATAAATAAATGTTGCAATAAATTATAATTTATTGCAATAACACTTTAATATTAAATTTAAAAATGCGTGTAATACAATATAACAAGTGTTCGCACTCCAGCGAAATCATCCGTAATACGGGCATGATTGCCACAAAAACGGTCGTACTGGTGTACGATAAACGTGGAGAGATGGCCGCGCTGAAAGGGTTAATTAATCAAATTTAGTTGGGTTGTGTTATTGTTTGTCCCAACTGTCACATGAAAGCTTATTTATATTGAAGTTTTTTAACAATTGTGTCACATTTTAGACTGTTATCGTTAATATTTATTTAAAGTTTCTCGTCTAAGACACATTCTGAAAACTATTTTATAGCTACTGTTAATAAGTGTCGGAAAATTTAAATTTGGCGCATTCGCATTTCCGGATATGTCCACCATCAGAGGCCACTTTTTTGGTCTCCTTTTCATAACGATTAGATTCCCTCTTTTGTCTTTTTGCTCGATGAGCTAATGCCTCTCTGTTAATGCTACAATGCACCTAAACACATTCTGGGGCTGGGCACACATTAATGTAGCTGTCAATCACATTAAATATTTCTTCAGTCTTTGTTCTAATTGACAGAGATTTATAAAATAGAAATTTTTCATGAATATGATTTTCAAAATTGTATTCACATCTGATGTGTCCGTAGTTTCATCAGCTTTCAAGAAAAAATAGTTACACTCCTTTAAGTGACCTATAATAGTTTCTTTAATTTTATCTGTCATCTTCACAATCACACGCTTCACTATGTTATTTAATAGAGCCAATGAATTCACTTGCTTTTTCTGCTTTTTATCACATATCTGAGATGCTACTATTTTCATTGCTGGAACTATTAATTTCTCAGCAATTGTGTGAGGATAACCAGTTTCAGCAACTAATTTTGATATTGTATAAGAAGCCAATACAAGATTTTCAGATTGAGTGTGAGAAAAATTCAAAAGACATAGTCTTTTTGGTGCTTCAATTCCAAGTGCCGCTTCAATTTTGAAGGTTTCATGGACTCATTTAAGTTTCTTTTACTTAGAATATTTCGTTTACAGTGTTTTTCAAGAACCATGTGCAAATTTTCATTTGATAATTTGGACAAATTTGAGCTTAACAATGCTTCACGCAAATCATGGTTAAATATCTGTTGCTCACTTGAATTCATGCTAGTTGACTGTAAACACCTAAATTTTTTCACATGGTATCTGCAAAAAAATCCTTCAGTATGTTAACTAAACTTTTTTTTAGGTCGAGGGATATTTAAAGCACAATACAGTATTGTGTTTAAACAAAGTAACTTGACAATGGAAAATGTATATTTTATAGTTTTCGGATTAATTTAATGAAATTTAAAATAATATAGATTTACTTGTTACTTGTGATAGTATTTATTCCACTGCGACCTTTTCAGGTCTAATGTGGTCCTCTAGTCCTAGACAACATTCTCTAGATTGACTTTTTTTAAAAAGTCTAATTGCTTCAAGACTGTACCTTCCATGTAGCTATGTGCTGGTGGATTTTCTTCTCCTTTCGCTGCATATTACTCCGATAGGAGTCAAAGTGTTCCTTTGCTAGGTGCATATGACTCCGATTGGGGACAGTAACCCGTTGATTTTTAAGACGCTATATTTTACTTAGTATGACGCCGACGTTAGTTAATGATTGTCAGTTTATTTAATTAATTTAATAATATTATATATTCTAATATCAATTACAATGATATTTTAGAAAAAAGTTATTGACGCTTCTGGGTAACACCTTTCGAAAAAGTCAGCAGCCAATGTGTTAATGCAAAGAATCGCACATTTGCCAGACTGTCACACTGACACAGAATGTGCTCAGCTGTTTCTTCTTCGAGGTGACAGAATCTACACATGTCATCATCTGATAATTCCGTCACCTTCAAGTGCCTATTCAGCTTACAGTGCCGTGTTAGAAGACCTACTATGGCTTTGACTGTTTTCCTGTCATTGCTTATTAGGTGTGTCGTTAAATTTGGCGAATGTTCTGTAATGAACTGTTCCGCCTGTCTTTGTCCTGGTGAATTCCACCACCATTACAGAGATTTGTAAGTTACCCACTTCCTTGTACCATATACTCTTTTGCATATTTGCCTGACTCTGCTTGTAACATATCAATAAATATCCAATCAGTATATCCACACATTTTCAAAATTACTTAACTATTTAGAAACACTATGGGTAATAAATTAAATTGAAGTTACTTTCACAAATTTAATCTTACACACACACAACCATCAATAAATTCCAGTTGTTACTTAAGAAAATATTTGAAATTCATACTCAACAAAACACTAACAAGATCTCACAAGGTCAAACATCACAAAATATTAAGTTAAATAACACAATTGAATCAACAGAAAATCAAAATTTTAATATCACAATTATAAAAATGTACAATTTTTATTTTTAATCTCTTTTTTATATATAAATTATTGGATATGACAATTTCTCTATGACTGATTTCATGTATTTTATGATTATTCTACTGAATCTCTGTCAAACTTTTAGTTTAACAAACTAGCAAATCAGTTTTTTCAGTTAATGTTTATTCAGCATCAACCCTTTTGTTTTCAACATATATCTTATTACTTTAATCTATAATGTGTATAGTATAGTTAATATCCTGCCACTTCATATATGTAAATTTTATATTAATAATAATTTAAGTATTTTTGAATTGTAGGAGGAGAGATTGTCTCAACATTTGACCATCCAGAATTGGTAAAACTAGGAACTTGTAAGCTTATTGAACAAGTCATGATTGGAGAAGATATCCTGCTCCGTTTCAGTGGTGTTGCTCTTGGAGAAGCTTGCACAATTGTCATCAGAGGTGCTACACAACAGATCATTGATGAAGCTGACCGATCCCTTCATGATGCTTTGTGTGTATTAGCAGCCACAGTCAAAGAGAGTCGAATTGTGTATGGAGGAGGTTGCAGTGAAACCCTAATGTCCACAGCGGTATCTAGAGCTGCTGCTAACACTCCAGGAAAAGAAGCTGTAGCAATGGAAGCCTTTGCCAGAGCCTTGTTGCAGTTGCCCACAATTATTGCAGACAATGCAGGTTATGACTCTGCCCAATTGGTCAGTGAGCTTAAGGCAGCACATAACAATAGCCAGAGCACCATGGGACTTAACATGGAAAAGGGTGAATTGGGAGATATGAAAACCTTGGGAATCACAGAATCTTTTGTTGTTAAAAGACAAGTAGTAGTCTCGGCATCTGAAGCAGCTGAAATGATCTTGCGTGTTGATAATATCATCAAAGCTGCACCAAGGAGGAGAACAGAAGACAGAGGAATGTGCTAGTTAAGGAATTATTGATATTTATATTTAAGGCTTTACTTACATATTTCGTTATAATATTGCATTATTAATCATTCTGCATAAGTTTTCTGCACTCATTCTTGATTTTCTAATAAAGCGACCTTTTAAAACTTTGTTATTCTTGTCTATAATCTATACCATTTACCACTCTACAGAATATAGGAGAGCATCTTAAACATCTGCCAAATAATATACTTTATGAAAGAAATATTTGAGAGAAACAGTACTTATGCAGGGAAATAATGTGTTGATGAATATAGTTCAATATAGTCAACATAGAAACAATTTTTAATATGTCATTTTCATTTAGCATATGTGTGTATGTGAAGAAATGGAAACGAAAATAATTTGAGGAATTATGTGAAATAAAAAATAAACAGTTGATTTAAGAAATTATACAAAATCAATATACTTAACATAATGAGATCGACAATATAGATGTTGAGATTGAGAAGGTTAACATACATGAAAATTGAAACTAAATGGAAAAACTGCAATATTTTGACCGGAAATACATTAGCGAAAAATAGCAACTATAATTGAGAATAAATTGGCTTATACTGTTATCTGTACAAAGAACATTTTGGTATATTGATGTATTCGTAGCCCATGGAGTAGCGTTGGTACCACGTTGCGACGATAAAGGACGCCCGGCGCCGAGGATTAAACGAGGACTTAACCGATACACTCGATGTTTTAAGTACGCTCTCTCGGTAGCAAATGTTTCGCCTTTAGATGGTCAGAAACCCTCTAGCCACGCGTCGAGGTGGGCCGTAGGGCGAAGGCATACCAATAAATCACTCTATTGTATTGTGATTTTGAATTACTTTCCAAAAATAACAAAAGAAGTCAAATTCTCCTACATAAAACCAGACATGTGTTTAAGCCAATTTAACAAGTTTACGAGATTTTATGAAATAACAGGAAACTATATTTTAAAGCAAAGAAGTATATACTATCAAGTTAGATCATATTATAGTACAGTAAAAGGTATTTAAATAATGTAAAAATATGAAAATAAATACTACATACTTTCCCAAACACTAACTATACTACAAAAAAAAATGTAGGAGAAAGAAACGTACATAATCATTATTAATCAGTCGTCTAAATTTAAAACCCGACATGTCCATTAAAACGAATTTTAAGTAAACCCGAAAAAACTTGGAGAAACTATATTTCTGTTTGAAATATCCTACCTCAAAGTATATTATTTTTGTTCGGTTATATCTACACCTAATAAATAGGGGCCATAAATAAATCTAATGCGTAAGAATTTTTTAATGAAATTTAAATTTGGAGATGACGGGTTTTGAATGTTATCGGATTGGACATGTGTTTTGACCACAAACTCTTAAAATGGCAGGAATTTGTATTAAAAAATATATACATATTAAAAAATACATGTCATGGTCACAAATCAATAATGAAAAATACAAAATATTTAAATATCGAAATTATTGCAAACAGAATTTTTCATTATTTTTATTGTTGTCTCCTTCCTCTTCTCTCAAAGCTTCTTGCGATCTTAGGTAAGTAGCTTTTTCTATGTAGGTGCTGTAAAATTTTCGTCAAAGACTTTTTGAAAAAAGGTAATGTTTCATAATTTTGCCAATAGTCTCGTGTTAACCTATACTGTTGTTTTTATCTGGTTATAATGAAAACCTTAACTTCGCAGCTACAGGATGAATAAAAATTTATTTTCACCGAGATTGTTTTTATAGAAACTCTCCCCTCGAACTGCAATGCCATTTGAAGTTTTTGAAATTATTACACCCTGTGAACTGGAATTTAAGAGCTGGGGTAACGACGCCCCAACCTGTAGACTTTGCTCCAATGTTCTATTATTTTAATTTACTGTCACAACACGTAACTTCGGGTGTTTTTGGAAAAAAAAGTCTGTCTGGCAGAAAGTACGAATGTCCTACAACTGGAAAAATTGCTTGAACTATGTCATTATTGTAGAGTTATTGCTTGAATATGACATACACACAAACATTTATATCATGCTCAGTGGGCAAATCACAGACAACTGCCACAACTGGATCATTGTACGATCAGATTTGAGCTCAGACACTGTGCTTCTTAATTCCGAGGTGTACCACCAACGTGCCAGTGGATGCATATGAAACATGCATACAAGTAAAAAAGTGTTGCTTTAAGCGATGCCCCACAGAGCTGCCGAACACAAAGGGATTTCAGATTTAGCATGGTAAGGTAGCTTGTCGTGTAACAAGAATGGACATCATGACAAAAGAAAAAGATGACTGAGAGGAGGGTGCAGAAATAAGTAGCACTTCTGAGTCTAGCAATTAAAGACATAACGGGAGCAAGCAGACACGTTTTCGGTCGGGTTCTGTCTCCGCCCAAATATTGAGCCAGAGAGAGTCCCGAAGACCAAAGTTAATTGTGAACAAACTCCAGCTCAGAAGAGCAGCATCAAGATACGGATAAAAATAGCTGCTGGGACTTGGACTAAAAAAACCAGAGCGGTGAATATTAATAGCGACGTCTTAGAAGTACTCAGAGAAGGTAAAACCAGACCTCAAGTGAATCCTCTGACTTCTGACCCCCTGGAGGAAGTGTAGTGGTCTTCAGTCCTGACCCCCTGAAGGGAGTGTAGCGGTCATCGTGATGTTGTGTATTGTCCGTCTCCAAAGATTTTTGCCTCTGAACAGCGTCCCCCGTTGTTATACCCCCACCTAGAGTGACTGTAGCGCCGCCGTCATTACGTACGAATCTAAGTATTTCCTATGCCTGTATTTGATAGTTATGTGGTTATGGAGATATTTTAAATTGTCATGAAAAATTGATATTTCTCGAATCAAATTTATTATTTGTATTTAGTTTTTTACTATTTTTAAATATCTTAAAACAACAAACAAAAATAAAATAAAGAAATTGTTATTTTTATTATAGGTGTTCGAAGTGAGTTCCCATAACGTTAACACAGGCTTGAAGATGGTTTTCAAAATATCTATTAACTTTCTAATCATTTGTCGCGTAATATTATGAAATGCGTATCTAATTCTGACCTTCATCCCATCAATTTTTGTTGAAAGTTCACGGTACACTAGATCTTTAGTTCTCCTCCTCAGTCGTAATCCTTTTGGGATTTAGTGACACCATCAGGCCTTTACAGTTTTTTCACGAGTTCCCTCCATCCTTCTCTGTCCTCGGCTAGTTGTTCGGCTTCATGTAATCCTTGGTTAATGAATATTTTTGTTTGATCTACCCAACGGCTTGGAGATCTTCCCCTAAGTCTTTTTCCTTCAACTCTACCCTCGAGTATCAGTTTTTCCATCATCAGATCTTTAATATAATAGCCCCAGAATAATTAATTAATTAATTATTAATAGCCAAAATTAATTCTGGTGATCTAGTTTGCCAATGAACTGGTCCTTCTCTTCCGTCGGTTTATGTTAAACTTGCTTCATCTCCGAGTACACACCGATTGGCGCACAATCATTTTTGTGAAACTGTATGAAATTATTTTTTGTTGCGCCCTTTCATATTTTTCAAATTCATTCGCAGTCAATTCTTTGTGTCGCTAGATGGAGTATGGATCTATGGGGTATCTCGAGAAAATGTTCTGAATATATCTGTAACTAACGTCTTGCTCTCTTAAAATATTTTTGACACTTGTATGAGGATATTCTGTAAAACATTTAATTCGGTTTGTTCTGTTATAACCGTTTTTGTTTTTTTTAAGGTTCATCACAGAATACACCACCGTATTCTGTGGTTTCATATATCACTGAACCATTGCATTTGAATATATCTATCCCAGTATATCCATTGCATCTATTATTCGGTTGCCAACGATCTGGATATCGCTCATGATAGACTCTTGCTGCAAATAAACAGTTCTTTCTACAAAATATTGCAGAAGAAGTGGGGACATTTCATGATGTTTGTTGTCTGCTTATATTATTCACCTTAAATTTTGCCTACTATTAGATAATATAATCTATGATCTGCTGAACATAAATTTCCCGCACCTGACTGCATTATCATCACATTAAATTTATATCATATTCCTACTTCTTATTTTAGATTAATACGAGTACCCGAGTACCTATCCAGATTCTTGGTGAGTACAAGGTAGGTTTAAAAGTTTAAAACGTAAGCAAGTTGCGGGAAACAATTTGGCCAATCAAAAAATTACTCCACAAAACCCACAGAACATGTATATAAAAATAGAACACACAGTCACAGTGTCAGCAATTTATACTGTGACACAGTTGTTGGTGTTACACAGATGTTCTTTATATGTTTGTGCTGAATTTGTAAATATATCTAGAATGACAGCTGTCTTAAAACATAACCTAAAAAGTTTTCACACGTGAAAGTTTAAAAGTAAACTTTTATGCAAAAATTTTATTTATTGAATTAAAATGTCATTCTTTATAAAAGGCAAGCAGCAGAATGGCGTAAAACGAGCAAAGTATGCAGTTACGAAGATTAAGAAACGTAAATTAACGGATAAACCAGTAAAGACTAAAAAGGACGAGGAAATAACCAGCAGTGAAGATGAAGACCTAGTTAAAGATAAACTATCTGATGCATCTCTTTCAGAGGACGAGCATGAAACCGCACAAGAAAAAAAGCTTCGTTTAGCTAAGATTTATTTGGAAGAAATAGAAAAGGAAGAAAAAGCTAGAAGGGAAGATAAAGAAGTAGATGAAGCAGTTTTGTCTAAGAGGTTAAAGGAAGACTATTTGAAGGAGACAGGTAAATTACGACTGCAAGTAGCCAAAAATTATAAACAAATAGATGAAGAAAACCGGTTAACTTTAAAGTGTAGAGAACAACACAAAAGTCTTACTTGTTTATGTATTTCTTCTGATGACCAATATGTGTTTGCTGGTAGTAAAGATGGAGTAGTTGTGAAGTATTCCTTATCAGATAATAAAAGAATAGGTGTAATTCCATTTGTTAAAAACTCTCAGGAAGAAACAGTGGGTCACAGTAGTGAAATTTTGAGTTTAGCAATATCGTCTGATAGTAAATATTTAGCTGTAGGTACAAAATCCAGTGATGTTTATATCTGGGATCCAAATACTTTTAAGTTTATCAAGAAGTTTCAAGGACATAAAAAATCAGTGACTGGTGTTTGCTTTAAAAAAGACTCTCATACATTATATTCATGTTCTAAAGATAGGACTGCTAAAGTGTGGAGTTTAGATGAAATGGCATATGTGGAGACATTGTTTGGACATCAAGATATTATATCTTCAATAGATGCTCTCTATAGAGACAGATTAGTTTCTTCTGGTGGAAGGGATTTGAGATTGTGGAAAATTACTGAAGAAAGTCAATTGATATTCAATGGACACACAGGAAATATTGATAATGTTAAATTGATAAATGAAGATACATTTGTTTCTGGAGGTGATGATGGAGAAATATGTATATGGAGCATGATGAGAAAGAAACCTTTGTGTGTTATCAACAATGCACATGGTGTTGATCCACAAACAAAAATACCCTTTTGGATAAGTGCTGTCACTGCTCTGCATAATACAGATTTGATAGCTTCAGGTTCACAAGATGGCTTTGTCAGATTGTGGAAGTTAGAAAACAACTTTAAAGCCTACAAACAACTTATGCAGATACCTGTGGAAGGTTTTGTTAATTGTTTACAGTTTACAGCAGATGGTAAGAGACTTCTTATTACTGCTAGCAAAGAACATAAAAGTGGAAGGTGGACTACAGTAAAATCTGCTAGGAATTGTATATTTGTTGTACCATTTTTACTAAATTGATTTTTTATGGTATATGTTTTTATATTAAGAAATATATGTATATGATTTTTTGTACATTTTTTTATTAAAATTGGTAATATGTTTAAGGGGATATATTGCACAGAGTTTCCCAAATTGGTATTCTTTGCAAAGTATACCTCAAACTATTAGAGATAGAAACAGGAGTATTGAAGGTGTCATGACTTTTTTTTTTCATTAAAGTAACCATTGGTCAGTCAAATCATCAATAACTCCCCACATTAGGAAGATACGGGCAATTATTGAAAATTGTCGAAAAAAACAGGGTTATAGATTTTTCTTTAGTAGGAAAAATTAAAAAACTATTGCAACTTTTGATAATATGAAAGAGATCAGTAATGTAAAAAAATTTTTTTAGGTAGTCTCACTAAGGAACTATAATAGCAACTTTTTTTATATAAGATACCTTATATATTTTGAAATTTTGCATTTACATTTTTAATTCTCTTTTACCTGATATAACACATTATATATCTAATTTCAGCTGTTGGAGCTACTTGCAAATAAAATGTTTATTTGAATTCACTTTAAAGGCACTTAGAAATAAAATACTTTGTAATAGATTCTATAATGCAGATACTTATCCTTCACAATTTTATTTACCAGAAATAAGATCAATCAACTTGAAAAATAGAAATACCAAATTTACGTACAACAAACAAACTAACCAACCAGAATTAATTTTACAAAAATGTTAACTTTATAACAAAACACAATTAACAATGGTTAAAATTAATTTTACAAATATATAAAAATTATAATAAATCTTTAAAATACCCCTCATTTTGTTGTAATAATAATTGACACATTTTTCTTACAGGTCTTACACAATTGAGTTTATGCATTGCTTTATTTTTCTAAATGCTTTGTCATATTTCTTCCCCAGTGTTAAAACCAGTTTTATATTGTTTTTCAAAATCAGGAAGATATACTTCTTATGAAAAAGGAAACCACCTAACAGAACTCTAAGTTCCAATCCACTGATTATGAAATTTTTCATTTAAATAATTAAAAAAAAAATCGTTAATATGAGCAAGTGCTGCATCTTGTTCTAATCAAAATGTTTTTCTCTCAGCCAAATATTCATCATCAAAAATATTTAAATTTGTTTCAAGATCCTACAGCAGTTAGTTTATTGTCAATTACATGATAAACTAATTTATTATGCTTGACAAAACACCTATGTCGAAACAAAATCTTGTTTGCCTTCTGATCCCCTGAACTAAGTGGGGACTTGAGTCATTCCAATTTAGTGTATTATGTTGGTTAACACAAAAATTGGTTGGTTAGTAACAAAAATTTGGATTTTTATTATATTTTGGTATAAACTATTCTGCAAATTTTAACCTTCTCAAATAATCATTTGGGTATACTTTTTGTCAGATAGATGTATGATAAGGCCTAGATTTATGTTTCTTTAAAATCCTCCCAGCAGTTGTCTTTGGAATTCCTTCTCAATTTGGCAAAAGAAGTGTTATGGTATGCTTGTATATAAACCCAGGGCCATAAAAACTGTCTATGTAATGTTTTGGTACAGACTAAAAGACATTTTAAATTCAAGAGAAATTAACATGCCAATATATAAGATTCTTTTAATAATAATTTTTATTATTTATATAATTTACTAATAAAAACAAAAAAACTGTCACTAAACTTTCACTGTGTAGTATACACATGGTGGAAGCACAATTCTCTTCAGTTAACAATTATGAGCTCAGGTGAGGAACACATTGTAGTGGCTGATTGGTTCATGCATAGAATGAGACGAAAAAGAAAATACTGAATACATCCTTACAATCTTATCACTGTGCACAATATCTCAGTTGTTGTTTGCAGGGAGCTGTCTAACCATGAATCAGAGTTCAAAGAATTTTATCAAATGAATCATGAAAACTTTCATTTTTTGAAAAGCCTAGTGTCAAGAACCCTTGAAAAAAAAGATACACACTTGAGGAAGACTATTTCTCCACACGAAAAACTCCTGATTACTACAAGGTAAGTAGATAGCAATGTAAATAAGATGCAGACATTTTATTTTCAAAACTGTTTGTTATTGAATTATATTTTCATAGCTTTTTATAAATTGTACCACTTAGTTCCACTTTCTTCTGTTATTTGGGTAATCGAATTGAATTCCAAAGTTTCTGCAATATTACGAATGTGAGATTGAGTTTGTATGATGTCATGATGGGATGGTCAAACTCCATACAGAAAACCTAGAAGCAATTGAAATGCTGGATTCCACATTCTCTGATTCGCCACCTATTCTCATTTATAAGGCCTAGTATTCATCCCAGTACCTTTCTTTCAAAGATCGAGCGTTTACAAATAACTATAACATTATTTTCATTCATTCAACTCATCTACCTATGGATGTGTTCATTGATTGTAATCTCAAATGGTCAGAGCAAGTGAATTCAGTGAACATGAAATTGAATAAAGCTTTTTATGCTATATCTAGAATTAGAAACACACTCCATCTCGGCATTAATAAATGTTTATTATAGCCTTGCTTACAGCCACATGTGCTATAATGTAATTTTGTGGGGGAACTCAGTAGATAGTTACAAAGTGTTCATTACCCAAAGAAAAAAATTATCCGTAAAATTTTTAATTTGGATTATCAACAATCTTGTAAACCAATTTTTATTAAACATCAAATTTTAATTTTCTACTGCGTATATATATCTACAAATGTTTATTGTATGTAAAAGATGAAATCAATACAACGTGCTGAACCTTTAAGAGTTCCTAAACACAGAACATCCAAATTTCAAAATTGCTTCAGATATATGGAACTGACCTTATACAATCATTTGCCAAAAACCGTTAAAGAAATACCACTTTCCTCTAAATAAAAAAAAAACGTTTTTTTTTATTTGCTCTTAAGAAAAGCTTATTATTCTATAAATGAAAATCTTAAGGACAAACTGCAGTAGCTTCATATTTTACGTGTAAAAATTTTATGTTTTGTCAATTTTGTTACACTGCACTATACACATTAATGTTTTTTATACTGAATTCTGTTGTCACGTATCCTATACATTATTTTGAATATCTTAAATGATCAAAGTATGACTATGGCTAACAAACTTTAATACAGCTATCAAGGGTAGACTAGTATTGACATGTAAAAGAGATTACTACTTACTTATAAGATACCTTTTTGTTGTTTTTTATATAAACCAATTTTGGAATCAAAAATATTTATTTGTCTTGGTAAGCTATTAGAACTCCCCACCAATCCTATAATTGGTCCATGGATACCATAATTAGTGTGGGAAACGGCACTGAAAAGATTTCCAACTGTCTGTTGTTTCTACTGCGTACTTTAAGATTAACAAGTGATAACAACTAAGGACAACCTATAATAGCATTAATGACTTTGTGCAGGAAATGTATATCTAACAATGTCCTCCTTAAATAAAGTGATGGTATATCAATACCCAATCAATCTTACCCACTGATAGTCATATTCTGCTACTATCGTCAAAAAAATATTTTTGACGCTTTAAATCTGTTCAATGTAACAATTGTATGATGGGGACCATACAACTGGTCCATACTCTAGAATGGACCTAACAAGACCACAATAAAGTCTTCTAAAGGTGAACAGACAGGTCTACAAATGTGCCTTGGATAAATTTCAGTACTTTAATCGCCCTATTCGTTACTTGATTAATGTGGCTTGAGAATGACAGGTTGGTCTCCTAACCTGATTCCCAAATCTGATACTTAATTTTTAGAGACCAATGGCAAGTTATTTACACAGTAAATAAATGTAAATGGTTTTCTTTGCGTCGAAAATTTGTTTATGTTAAGCAACATTTTGTTTAAACTGCATCAGCCATAAAACGATTTAAGATCTTCCTCTAATGGAACAGCATCATTTTAGGATTCAATTGTTCTAAACAGTTGTACATCGTCAGCAAACATAAGATAAGAACAGTACAACTTTTCGAACAAATCGAATAAAACAGGACCACAAAAGGGGATCCACAATACCGAAAGCTCTTAGTTTGTGCAAGAGGACCCCATAGTTGACCCGATAAAATGCTTTGGAAATGTCAGTATAAACCGGGAGTCCCTCTTCAAAGCTTTATATATATATATATATATATATATATATATATATATATATATATATATATATATGTATATATATATATATATATATATATATATATATATATATATACAGGGTGGTGAATCGTCAAACGGGCCATAGGAAACTCAATGGGAAATTCTAAATTGTTGAATTCCTGCTTCCCAAATTATTTTACACCAAAAGTCATGGGAAACTATTTGTAGAGGACTCAAATATGTATCGAAAACAACTGTTAAAATTATTCTACGACTTAAACGTATTCCAAAATTTTGCTAAAATATAATACATTTTTCTGTGAAAAAATGTGTATTATGTGTTGCGTTTTGTCATATTATTGTTTCTGATATTTGACAATATTTAAATCAATTATATTACATTTATCTATGATTTAAATGGCCAAAATTTTGTGATTTATTGGTAAAAAAAAATAAGTTAATTAAAAAATGTACTCAGTTGAGGAGAAAAAAGCAATAATAAAAATGTTTTATTCATGTTTTATTATAACATTTTTTATAGTTTTATGTTTAGAAATTATCATATATTATTATTAGGAATAAATATCACAGTAACAGTATATTGGAATTCATTACATTGTTGTATAACTTAACATGGAATTAAATTTTAGTGAATTAGAATATCTTACGTTAAATAAAGATCCGGTAGTGGCAGAAAAAGGTTCGCGCTATTGCCTGTATACAACATTATGCGATTTTTCGTCAACTGAGTACATTTCATTATATTGATCGATTTGTAAACAATATAATTTATTGTTCACAAAGTAATAATGTGTAAATTAGTACTTGTGTTTGTATATCGTGAGTAGTAGTATTTAGTAAAATTCATTGTTTATAATTTAATCATAAAATAAAAAAATTGACAATTCAAATTTCAAACATCTGACATTAATATGATAAAACACAGACGTCCTAATATATATTCTTGCATTACGTGTGGCCTAACTTTTAGGGGTGGCCTGAAAAATGTACTATATTTTTGCAAAATTTTGATTTTGCAAAAATATAGTACATTTGATTCGTAGAACGGTTTTAACATTTGCTTTTAATTCAGATTTTAGTCCTCTACAAATAGTTTTTTATGACTTTTGATCTAAAATAATTAGGGAAGCAGCAATTCAACAATTTAAAATTTCCCATTGAGTTTCCTATGGCCCGTTTGACGATTCACCACCCTGTATATATATACATATATATATATATATATATATATATATATATATATATATATATATATATATATATATATATATAAGCTTTGAAGAGGGACTCCCGGTTTATACTGACATTTCCAAAGCATTTTATCGGGTCAACTATGGGGTCCACTTGCACAAACTAAGAGCTTTCGGTATTGTGGATCCCCTTTTGTGGTCCTGTTTTATTCGATTTTTCGAAAAGTTGTACTGTTCTTATCTTATGTTTGCTGACGATGTACAACTGTTTAGAACAATTGAATATATATATATATATATATATATATAATATATATATATATATATATATATATATATATATATATATATAACATTGGCATCTGTCGATCTCCCTCTCATAAAGTCAAATTGTTTTTATCGTCTCTATTTAGTTTTTAAGTATCTGTTTGTATGTATAGTGTATCGCATATCTCTTATGATATATCGCCTGAGTATGAACACTGCCCTAAGACTTTTACATGGACAGTATACAAATAAGAATTACCATTACCAAGATATATGTATAAAATGTACTATAACTTTATTATCTTTTTACTGAATAATGCTGTACAATAAATAGTAAAAATATTGTTTGCTGGCATAATAAGATCTGTAGACTTGTAACTACTCGAGAATTATAAATTGTCGAGTGGAACTTACTTGTTATTCATCATCATCATTTTGGCTTTACAACCCTGTGTGGGTCGTAGCCTCCCCAAGAATTCTCTTCCAGTCGTCCCTATCCATCGCCTTCCTCCGCCAAGCACGTATTTCCACATTTCTTACTTGTTATTCACATAAGTTATATGTACTATAAAAATCTTTGTTTTATTGTTTTAATCGACTTAATTGTTTAATTTTATGTTACAATTAATATTGGCTATGAGCATAGATGTGCTTTAACTAACTAAATCAAAATTTGACTAACATAGTATATCTATAGTATCATCTCTTCATTAAAGTAGAAAATTATATAGGTTAAATTGTTTTCATTGTTCAACATAGCTCTTATATGGTTTTTTTCATTATCAGCAGTTTTTTGTTTTATATTTTGAATAACTTTCCACAAACGACAAATCAAGTATCTTTGTTTTAGGAGGGTGTTAGCATAGTACTAAAAATACAAAGAATATAATATAGTTAAATAATTTAATAGAAAGAATGTCAGCTGTTTTTTACATAATCTACTCGCATGTTTAAAAACTGGAAAGGGAACAGATTAACTAAATATGTTAACTTGTGAAGGAATTTATGCACTTGAGATGGTTTCTGCCAAATCACCAGATTCCAGCATTTCTTTAACAATGTCCAAACCACCTACAAGCTCACCATTTATATATAATTGTGGGTATGTTGGCCAATCAGAATAAGTCTTTAGTCCTTGACGTACTTCTTCATCTGAGAGGATATCAAATGTTTCATATGAAGCACTATAAAATAAAAATATATATGTAAAAGTCAACCATGTCAGTTTGATGATGAATGCAATACTTAATTTATATTGTGTAAGTATTAACATAAGGATATAAATATATATTTTTTCTCACATATCAATGGCTTAATGCTAATACCCGTATCTGCAAAGATGTTCCTAGCAGTGTCTTCCATCTCTCTGCTAATTCCCAGTATCGTAAACGCATTAGAACGCGCCAAATTATTATTCTTGTAACAACCGATATGGTAGACACTACACATCCATTGCTAATACCCTGTATAGTTCATTTCGTACATTGTTTTAATGGTCGAATGTAAAGCTGCATAAAGATGTCATCGTTTTTACAGGAAATACGAGAAAAATCGGTAAGTAATAATAAACTCGAGATACGGGTTATTGTAGGTAAATTTCTACAATTAAATAAAACAAAAATGACTTTCAGTGATATGGCAAATTTCCCTTTTTTACAGGTAAATAAGTTAAGTCGAATTATGAAAATGATTGCTTATTGCACTGAAAAATCAAATGTAACTGCAGACAATCAGTCTTTAAGTAGTACTGAAGAACCGGATATGAACCAAGTGATACAAATTCAGAATCAAGTATATCAGATGACTGATGAAATAATAAATAATAAAAAAAAGATAAATCATACGATTTCTACCTGGCGAAATCGAATTCAAATATAGGCCGTCGTGCTCCCTAAGACTTGCGAAGCAAACAGCTTGATGAATGCATCGGCAAGGGAGTCTAAAAATTGCACTCCAAATGCCGTTCATCATGGCCTATATTCGTAGTGAATTCGATTTCTGGTACTCCAAATGAAGTAAATAAACAAAACAAATGACGGTATTATATTTTGATTTGATACAGAGCAGCAACAAGCCGCATATACGTATTTCGATCTCTTTAGATCTCCTCAGTACGGTGAGAGCGATATTCCGGACGATTTGACTTCCACTTCTATTCAAAATGACGATCAGCTCCTAGTATTATGCGACGAGGTGCTCGAGAACCTAGAACAATCTGTTCCTATTACTGATCTCCAGCCGGCTAAAGATGTTCTAATAGAGTTTGTTGACAAGTATTCCGCTAAAGAAAGTTATGGGAGGAAAAAGAGAAAAGCATTTGCGTCTGAATGGCCGAGAAATAAAATTAAGAAATTAAGATTAACTGGTAAAGCGTATAAAGGTTATCAAAGGAATAGAAATGGCGTTGTTACACAAGGGGTACCCACACCTGAAAGAAAAATAACCAACGCATGCAAATATACTGCATGTTTAAAGCCAAAGAAACGCTTCTGCCAAACGTTTTCAGAAGAAGACAAATCTTCGATTTTTGAAAAATTCTGGGTGAATTTGGATTCATGGGAGGAGAAAAAGGTCTACGTTACCGGGAATGTGGAATATGTGGCAAAAATGAGACAGTCCACTGAAGGTCCTTCCCGTAGGAAGGGAACTTATTTTTACTACCAAAGAACAAAAGATAATGACAGAAAAAGAGTATGCAAAAAAAGGAATTTTTAGAAACTTTAGGAATCAAGTAAGATATGGTTCACAATTGGGTGGCTAACACAGAATTGATAACTCAGAAGTAGATACGTCTGCAAGATCAAGATCTGATCATGCCTCAAAAACTGAGAAGAGAAAGTGGTTGAGAAATTGGCTAGAATCGTTGCCAAAACTGAGCTCGCATTACTGTAGAAAAGATACCCAAACCCTATATTTTGAACAAATTTTTTCTACTAAAATGAATCTTTTCCGGACTTATGAAAATTATTGTAAATATCACAATAAGCAGAAATATGTCTTAAGCTTTCCAATATTTGATGACATATTTAGGCAAATAAACCTCTCTTCAAAAAAAGACAGATGCGACGTATGCTGCTCTTTCGAAAACAATAGCATAAATGAAGCAGACTACAAGAAGCATTTGGAAAAAAAGGATAGGCCAGAAAAGAAAAGAAAGAAGGCGTTAAAGGGAGAAAAGTACGCTCTGGTTGTGGATGTTCAAGCTGTTAAAATATGCCCTGTTAAAAAGTACAGTAAAATAAAATTGAACTGTCATAATTTTACAGTATACAACTTAGCAACTCATCAAAGTACTTGCTACTGGTGGAACCAAACCGAATCTGACTTAACAGCATCAACTTTTGCATCATTTTTATTGGATTACATTGAAGAAAAGTGTACATATCCAAAAGTGCCAATTACCATTTATTCAGATGGATGCTGTTATCAAAACAGAAATGTGGTAATGGCCAATACTTTGTTTCACAACGCGGCCATACACAGATGAAATGCGATGCAAAAAATCGGCATATTCATTTGCCAAGTTAATATTTCACGAGAGGCCAGGAGTAATCCATTTCCAATAGATAATACATGGAGCTACAATTCTATTCGTCCAGAGAAAAAGCCAAGTGAGCCAACAGTTACCTATCTTACACAATTACACTACAATCCGGAAAAGAAAAAGATATTTCATAAAATTAATTTTGATGATGATCTTCAAGTTTTACCCATAAGACAAATAAAATACCGTGATTTTCAACTACCCTCTATTGCATAAGGAAAAATTAAAAATTTCATTCAAAAAGTGAACTCACTTACAAGAACTGACATCTCTTTTGCCTGCCTGATTACAGATATTTTTATGAAAACTTACCCCATTTTTCAAAGTCAGTAACACTGTATTAAGAGTTATATTCTTCTTAAATGAATAAAAACTTACCTCATTCTTCAAAACAACATTGTATGAAGTTATAATTTTTTTCTTTAATGAATAAACATTTACGTTGATACAATATTGTAATTTATTTTTACAAGTTATCAAAAATTTTAATCAATAATATCCAGTAACTGCATTTCAGTTTTTATATTTTTTTCAATCAATATCCCGTATATGACATAAAAGTTAATCACAAATTAATTTAAACTAAAACCTATGTTTATTTAATAACTGTTTATATAAAGAATAACCAACAATAAATGTTGATTTTATGTAATGTTTTCAGTGTTAAAGGGTTTTTTGTTTCCTATAAAATTTCACTTTTTGCATATATGGGGTATTACCATTAAGCCATCGATATATATGCAGAGGAGCTAATTCTGAATATTTTGTTGTAAATAATAAGTCTATTCCATAAATGTATCGACTGTTTTGGATTATTGTGACAACAAATATTTTACTGTGCAAATTAAGAAGTACGAAAATAAATTGCTATAATTATTCCAATAAAAATTATCTACTGTCAGTTTAATATTATCTACTTGCATACGACTGATCATGACATATGGCATAGAAGTGCGCGAAGATACCAACAAAACGAAACAGATGCTAAGGGTTGCCGAAATGAAAACCCTAAGAACAATAATGGGGAAAACAAGAAGAGACAGAGTGAGAAATACAAACATTAGAGAGCAGTGCAAAATTCAAGATATTGTAAGATGGGGAAGGCAGCGCAAGAGGATGTGGTACTACCATGTAAGACGAATGGATGAGAATAGACTCCCAAAAATTGCCCTAGAAAACAATCCGCCCGGTTCAAGACCCCTCGGAAGACCACCTAAAAGATGGAGGGATAGTTGGCAATCTACCTCCCAAGAAATTAACCAGAGGCAGCTTCAGAATTAAACAGATCGAAAGATCTACAAAAAGTAGAAGAAGAAGTTTAATATTATATAATTTGAAAAAAATATTAAATTAACATAATTTAGTAATGATTCTAATTTCAAAGAGTGTGCTTGTTTATTGAAGCCAAAAATGCCCTAGATGTGTTTTAGATGTAGATAATTTATATTTAATTTACATGTTTATTTTACTGATAAGAAAACCAATGGATGCCCTTTGCTACCAGTTTTATCTGTTCATAAGCGTATGTGTGATGCACTCTGTGTTAGTGAAAGAAAACTAAAGTCAGTTTTGCAAAAATTTGAAATCTGTGAGAATCCATAAAATGTGTGAAAAGAAAGAACATGCTTTTTTAGATTTAGTATTACAGAAATTAAAAGAAATAAATGTATTTGAAATTTCCAACAAGCCTCTGAAAAGTTTTAAGACTGATTGGGTTTAATTTCAAAAAGGAAGACAATAAAAAGGCATTGTGTCAAAGAGCTAGTGTCGGTTTTGCTTATGTCAGAAAAAATGTTTTCTTGTAATTTGATACACTTTATATATTTTGACATTTTGCATTTACATTTTCAATTATTTTGTTGGTATAACACATCTTTCTATTTTTATTCATAGAAGCTACTTGCGAGTAAAATGTTTATTTGACATCACTTTAAAGACACTTAAAACAAATTACTTAGTAATACATGCTAACATTCTACAAAAAAATTATAATGCAGATTAATCCTTCACAATTTTATTTACCAGAAATAATATCAATCAACCTACAAAATATGAATACCAAATTTACCTCACCAAAAAACTGAACAACCAGAATTAATTTTACAAAAATATGTAAATTATAATAAATGCTCAAAATGATCCCCATTTTGTTGTAATAATAATTGACACATTTTTTAAAACCTAACAGAACCGTAAGTTCCAATCCACTGAATATAAAATTTTTCATTTAATTAATTTAAAAAAAAAATCTGCATTATAGGCAGGTGCTCCATCTTGTTCTAATCAAAATGTGTTCCTCTCAGCCTAATATTCTTCATCAAAAATGTGATTTACATTTGTTTCTAACATACTTATATTTATACTGCAGCAGTTAGTTTTTCATCAAATACATGAATTAATTATGCTTGACAAAACACCTTACGTTAAAACAAAATCTTGTTTGCCTCCTGATCCTCGGCACTAAGTGGGGATTTGAGTCATTCCAATATAGTTCATTATAATGGTTAAATATTTCTGCACTGGATATGAAAACTTCATCGCCAAATTTGACAAAAAATTGGATTTTCATTACTTTTTGTATATACTATTCTGTAAATTACTGGTACTGGAAAGAAAGATATTGCAGACTATCTATGGGCCTTGCTGAGAAGAGACAACAGGAGAATGAAGAAGAAGACACAATGATGAATTCCAGACAGTATATGGAGATGAAAACATAGTAAGCTACATTAAAGCAAACCGAATAAGATGGGTGGGCCAGTGCTAAGATAGAATGACGAAAGACTCCTTAACAACACATTTTGGGAAAGGTCAGTTGGCAGATGGTCAAGATGGCAGTCAGGTCAGATGCAGTAGCCAGTGATCTACGGAAAATGGAAATAAAGCAATGGGAAATAGCTGTTCAGAACTGACAACAATGGAGGGAAATAGTACTTGTTTAAGCAAGCCATCTTCCATGATAAAGGAGTCCAACTGGACCCAATACGTTTTAATTACTGGTCATAGGTTAGATATCTCTTGGCAAGACAGTCAACATTTTTATTCTCTCCATTTTCGAATTTTCTGTAAAACTGGATCTTTCTCTTTTTATCTGATCTTAGTAGGCTTCCACACGTCTTGACCACCGTTGTTCTAAGCATTGTTGCTTCCTTAGAGTCTGTTTTGTTTTAGTAGGAACACTCTGCTAGGCACAGCCTTCTCGATAATCAGCGTTCCTGTGGCTATCTCTGGCTCGAAGTTCAATGTTGGAATCATTAAATCCATCTGAATCTAAAAGCGGCATCATCGGTTCAGATTAAAACTTCCTGCCATATAGATATTGATAAAAGTGTTCACTGATTTCTTTACTGCTCAAGTTTTATTCTTGTGACGCAATAATTTTGCTCAGGTTTTGAAAGCACTTTCTCATACCCACATTACTTGCATTTGTATCTAAGACAGTAGATACCCTAATATTGTTGCAGTATAAATTTTTCTTTTGTTTCAAGGGCAGTTTGGCAGTCTCCATCCCAGCATTAATCTTTTGCTTCCTCTTTAAGTCACATTAATGGCATAGCAATATCTGCAAACTTATTAATGAACTTCTGATAGTAAGTACATACCCCAAGAAAACTTAGACCAAGAAAATAAAAAGACTTTGTGTGAAAGAGCTAGTGTCAGTTACAAAAGAATAGAATTTTTAACAAATTATAACAAATTTAAAAAATAATGTTCTCCTTTGTTTATATAGATGAAACATGGATTTTTGCTAAAGGTGGTAAAATTCATAAAACATATTGATACTGAAGGAAAGGGACATATGTGCATGCATGTGAAAAACATGGTTTTATTAATGGAGCTGATCTTGCATTTTCATCAAAATTTCATGACAATATGAATAATGTTGCTGTTGAATAATTAATGACAAAATGTTGTAAAATAAGATAATGCTCTGTACAATTTCGAAATTTTAATTAAGCAACCAACAAATTCTTGGACCATAGATGAAATAAAAGAATATTATTCTAAGAATAATATTTGAAGAAGTTAATCCTGTTATAATTTACCATTCCAATGGGAACAGCGATGACAGTGATTATGAGTGTGAATCTGATTGTCAGAGATTAGGAGAATAAGAGAATTCATAATTTTGTTTTGTAGGTGTTTGTGTAATATGACTGTAGTATTTTTTTATTTAGTTTATTGTGTCTCAACTAACTACGTTATTAACAATGGGCAAATTGTGTTACTATAAATATGATTGATATTATATTATAATTATAGCTTACATTAAATTAATTTTACAATACATTACAATCAACAGAATAAAAGAGAAAATATTAAATTTTGTAGTACAAATTCGTTTCTTGGAGAAAATCTAGTACATTCTGAATAAGCTCTAATTGGCTGAGGATCACTTGTGTACTCATTGTGTTGTCTATATTCAATATTGGTTTGTCAAAAACCTAGAGATCTTAACAGAAATAATTGCTTTCAATGAAGAAAATTTCATCAGTCTATACACACAGGTTTTTTTTTACTAGTTGTAATTATAAGTAATAAGTAAATTATAGTAAGTACTAATAAAACTGGTAGTTAAAGTAATAAATTGCAAAAACTGACACTAATTTACAGAGCAATATGTACATGTTCACTCTCTATAGGCCAGTCCCACAACAGTATTTAAAAAATTGGGAGAATTTAGTATTGTACAATTTAGCACATTGGACCATTTAAATTAATACTTTTAAACAGTATTCAAAACAGTTGTATATTCATGGAATAGGCTTTAACATAGAATGCAACATAACAGTTAGACTAGATATTTGTCACTTAATTGAATTCTAATTCAATGATTTATCAGTGGTTTCCATTATTTTATTATAATTTGTTAAGTTCCAATAACTGCATGTACTGTTAAAATAAATACTTACTTAATACTATTCAAAATATCGATAATCTTCCTACTGAATCCACATCTTGGTACATCCCTATTTCCTTTCATAAACAACATAACTTTAGATTTATTAATCAGTGCTTTTAATCTTTCCTCTAATGGTTCACTTTTACTATCACCTGAACCGCTACTATGTTTCTTAACTGCCTCTGCTATTTTTACAGTATCAGCCCCATTTATAACTTCCACATTCTTACCAGACTGAAATAGTATGACTGTTGGTACAGCTTCTATATTATACTTGACGGAAACTTCTGAAAGCTCTTCTGCGGGGCAAGAATAGAACTTAACGTGTGAATTGGCTTGTTGGGAAGACAAAGCTTCCAGTAATTCGTTTACTTGAGCACACTGTTCTGCCCATTCCGCTTGAAAATGTACCACGGACAGATTAGATGCTCTGGAAGAAAGGAAAAATTATTTTGTTATTAATGAAAATAAATATTAATCTTACTTTACGGCGTCATCGAATGCCTTCTGTGTTTTCAATTCTGATACCATTCTAATATTTAATTTTTTTATTATTATCAGCAATCCAAAAACTGAGGTTAGATTATTGCAATCCAAAAACGTGACAGTTGATTTCTTCTTTTTTTATGTTCGTATGATTAAGAAGTAAGAAGGAATACAACCAGGTTTCTACAATATATTTATTTGAAAAGGCATTTTATTTTATACAATATTATACTAAATGTCTGAAGTGTCAAATAAAGCCATCGAAAATATTGGGAAGTTTGTTATATATTTAATAAGTTGTTTGACGCTTTTATATTTTAGTAAAATTTCTTCAAAATTTTGATTTGTATACTTTTACACTCATTTTGTAATACTAATTACTAAAGATAATCATTCTTTGAAAACTAAACCACAGTATAAAAACGATGCTTACAGTCATAAAATATAGGTTTAAAACTTCTTCGTCTTCTTAGGGTGCCTGTCCGTTCCGAACGTTGGCGATAATTCTGGCTATGATGACTTTGTTGGTTGCTATACGAAATAGCTGTGTTGATGTCTTTCATGCCCTCAGGTTAGCAAGCCAGGATATTCGTCTTTGTCCTGAGGCCCTTTTTCTTCAATTTTACCTTGAAAAATGTATTGAAGTAGCTCGTATCTGCCTTGATTTCTCATTATATGTCCCAAGTACTGTAGCTTACAGTTGTGATCATACTCTGCAGTACTTATTCATTGGTGATTTTGTCTGTCCATGGTCTCTTCAGGATCCTTAAAACTTACTAGGGCAAAAACAGAGTCTCTTGAATATTAATTTTAAAATGGACTGACTACGGCAAATAAGATGACCTTTAAATGACGAAATTTTTGTGATAGTTTTTTTTATGGTACGTACCTATCTAGCATCGGAATTATAGAGTAATAGCAGATTAGATAGATATATGCGAAGAGTATTTAATCAGTGTGTTTTGCCAGTGTTGACTTACTGAGCGGAAACGTTGACTATGACAAGTAGAACAGTGAAAAAGATCCGTGTAGCTCAAGGGGCAATGGAGCCGTGCTATGTTGGGCGTTTCAATACGAGACAAGATCCCAAACCGCCAGCTACGACGAATATCAGGAGTGGCTGATGCTGTAGAGGAATAGCAACATTGAAGCGGAACTGGGTAGGTCATGGCTCGAGTGACAGATAACAGATGGACAAAGCGGAATGAAGACCAAGAAATGATGCCTACCGAAGCAGAGGTCGTCCAACAACACCTTGGACTGATGACCTAAAACATTGTCATAGGTGTTGGATGCAAGAGGCACAAGATCGATACACATGAACAATTATGAGACATACTATGTCCAGCAGTGAACAAGCAAAGGATAAATGATGATGCTAAGAGTTAGAGCAGAATAGACGAAATGGAAAGAGATATTGCAACTGATCATAGAGTATGATGCAAATGTGAGTCATTACTACAATCTATTATGGAATATGATTTAGACATACTAAATGTAGGAAACAAACCAATTTCGTAATTACGTAATGAAAAAAGGTATTTAATATATCAATAGCTACGAGTTACGTGGCTAGAACTATTCAAAAATGGCATATGTCAGGCGAAGCAGAGGAGACTTATTCGGACCATCGACACATCTATTTTTAAGTAACAGATAATTAGTCTGTCAAGAAGACTTATAGTTACCTTAGTAAAACCAACTAGCAGCATATCAAGCCTATCTGGAATATTGTTTAGACATAATTAAATAACCAATAAGGAATATACTGAACTTAGACATCGTTGCTGAACAATTTGAAGAGGTTTTCATGACGACAATTGCCAGAAACAGCGAGGAATTCCATTATTAAAGCGCCCAACAATTAAGTCCCTGAGACCGATAAGTGTGATGCCATTCGTATTAAATACTCTTGAAAAACTACTTAATAGGCACTTTGCGGATAGTGCATTGGTTAAAAGTCCCAGAAATCAGGACTTATCTTAAATGACTCTCTAACACCTGTCAACTCAAAAAATATTTACCTTATCACCAAATTGTTCAATTTATCTATAATTTTATCAATTTTTTCACCTCCCAAAGAGTCATCTAGATACTCTCCCATACCTGTCATATAACGTGGGTGTGAGCCAAGAATACGGAGAGAGTGTTTCGCATTTAAGGATGACCTCGCTAGGCTGGTGATGATGCAGGACAGGGAGGACTTTATCTTCGATGCGCAGTGTACGTGTAAAGGGCGGCCATAATTCTCAAGGGGGCAAGGAAAAAGAAACGAAATAATGTTCGAATGTACAGGAAAGAGAGCGGTAACAAAAAAATGTAGATATTTAGGTGTGACTTTGAGTCAGAACGGAAGGTGGGGAGAGTGACTCACAGAGCTGCGGCGACATCCGTCGCGCTGGGAAGATCGTACCCAACATCGGAGGGCTCAAATCCGAGGGTCCTTCATTCTGTTGTGCAATCGATCGAAGGCACCTCATCCGAGCTGATAAGAAGAGTATCTTGAGTGTGGCATGTGCATACATAATGGTGTCCGCCTAGGCTCTGAGAGTTATCACCAGCTGTATTCCGATGCACGTACTAGTTAAAGAAAGAGGAAGAGTATACGAGAGACGAAATGAAGACATATCAAGGGATATGTTAAAAAAAAGAAGAGGGGAGAGGTCGATTATGGTGTGCAAGACGAATGAGACGAGATAAGGAGGGTGGCGCAGTGCACGAAGTCGCTTATTCCTAATCTTAGAAGATGGATAGACTGCGGGCATTGGTGTTTGTATTATTACTTCCTGACTTAGATGCGATAGATGGATAGCCGAGAGAAACCTGCTTGAGAGGTAGGATGCGAGCAGTAACGAAACTGATGAAGGAGATGCTTAGGTCGTCGGAGAGCAGTTCAGAGATATGTGGAGAGAAAGGAACAGGAAGAAACGCGACCCGACCGGAGACAGAGTGCCCAGGAGTAAGCAGGAAGATAAGGGAGAGTGAGATGTGACGAGATTGAACATGAATAGGGAGGGAGAGAGGGATAAAAGGATTAGGCACTCCCAACGAGAAATTAGGTGATTGCCATGTCGACGTTATGCCCCAAATCAGCTGATAATTGAGTAACTGCTGAGAAGGGTGTTTTTTTAGTAGGTAGGTCTCTGGCATTAATGACGGTGGTGCACGAACAAACAGTGCGGTCTCGTATATGGTCCCAGACCTTCCGGTCTCACCGAGCCTGGAAGGCGATTCTGCCTACCTTCTACAACCGAGGAATGTTCAGAATATTTTTACCATTCCCATTTATAAAAGACGAAAAAAAAGTAACCTACCATATCTGAATTCAAGGAAACGAAACCGTTGATAGCGCAGCAATCGCAGCGAGATCATCCTGAAAGAATCAAAATTAACAAAAATCCAAAACATCACTCCAAACAGCATTAAACTTAATTTCTGACAAATTTATTAGTATTAAGTAAAGCTATAAATTAATTAACCAATCTGCACTAAACCATCAGCTTTTCAGGCTGTAAACAAGTTTAATGCAGTTTAAATATACATGTAAATATAGTTTATTTTACGAAAAATGGTTGAGTGCTTAATGATTGCAATAAAACCCGACCGCAAGTACCCTAGCTTAGTCAACATTAGTTGAGCATGTAAGTATTCAGGTAAAATTGAAGCTACTATGGAGTATCGTTATCTTGTCGGTAATATAAAAACGATTAAAAAATCGTATAAAATTATAAAAATGATTAGAATATATTTTATTTCATAAAGTTGTAAAAATTTTAACAGTGAGTTTCACTATCAATGGTTGATCTTTTAATGACCACAATAAATTTGTTGATCGTTAAGTATTTCCTGGAATAATTATACAGGTTCCCTCTATTCTGTATAATTTGTAAAAGTATATAAAACCGATGAGAAATTTTTAAATATACATTTTGTTTCATTTAGTTGAAAGTGTTACTAGCAAATTGATTATCTCGTGGCGTCTACGTCATATTTGGAGCGCAGGGCAAAGTCCGACAGGAGCTGTATAAGTGAATTGTAAAAACATGGGTTTAAACGTAGTACAGTGGAATTTCTAATTGAATTGGGAACAAACTTAAGTTAGCAGAATTAATTTATTTAAACCTTATTTATGTTTTTGAGAAAAATATTAATATTTTTGTAGAAAAAATTTGATTGCAATTATCGTAATTAATTAATGTAAAACGTATTTGGATGTAACTTGCATATTTTATGGAAAAAATATTCTTTTGTATAACATTTAAATATAGTTTTAAGAAAATACAATTTGTTATAACAACAAGTATTATGCAGTTCTGTAACAAATGGTTGTTTGTGGCATGAAGCAAGTGTGTTTATATAAATGTTTTTATTGTTGTATTTGACCACAGTATATTTTGTCCATAGCTATAGACTCATCATATGTTTGTGTCATGGTAACATTTTTTCTTCATTATAACACATATATTTTAGCAGTGATAACATGCTCAAATTAATAACGTAACAAATAATTGCTATGCTAGTTAACACTAAGTGATTTAGAAAAATCGTTTTAAACTAGCTTGTTCTAGTAATGCAACTTGACTTTAATTTTGTATAATACGATTAATGTTTCGACTAGCTGTATTCACTGATATTCTTGAAAATAAATACTGATAATAAGTTCTCCTAACATAAATCTGTAATTATAAAAAAAATTAGACTTTGCGTTAAGTTACCAAAGACAGCACATAAAATATGTTAGTTCAACAAATACGTCTCCTGAAAGAACAAATCAACAACAGTGAATCGGTTATTATAACACTGAGTAGAAAACTTTTATTAGATATTACTCATTCGTTATAAATAACTTTGTACAAATAACAATGTAAATAAAAATATATTTACCGCAAATAGAAAATTGTTAAACTCTTCAATAAACTGTTAATTCAAAAAAGTTTTTATATTTAATACCTAACTTACACACTAACTTTACTAGACACTTAGTACCTAACTACACACTATTTTTACTAGACTAATTATTAAACGTGTAGAAGCGATCCGTTTGCTTCGGTTGATAGAAAATTTGTGTCAATGCTTTTAGATCCGTTAGTAACCACGACCGTCAGACGAATATCGGC